TGGACGAATGTGCACATCGTGTCCTCTCTTGTGATCAAAGCACACTCAGAGTACAGAGTCACATGCTTGGCCACTCCCCGGCCTGTGATAAGACTTCATCGGATTGACGACCTCCCCTATAATGTGTCAAACATGTTATATATGCATAGTATAGGAAGCTACTAGTAGGGAATAAGCTTAACGTGCTACTAACTAAAATATAATATATGCACAAAGCCTATGGCCTGTACAGAAACAGCGAGAACTGCAAACAGACTAGAACAAGAATGATAATAAGTTACAGACGAAGGCTACATGATCAACATTCATGCAGGCGTGTATTTTTCCGAGATCGACAGAAACCGGCACCAGCAGGAGAAGCTGCCCAGAGCTTGCATCGATACTTGAGTCCGAGATGTTTCTCGACGATGTGACGGATGATCGTATCTCGCCGTACTAGCTTGTGCAGTTCACAGTCCTTCCAGAGACATTTTAAGCGTTTGTCCGCGCGCAATGGTGACTTGAAATGGTATGATGACATATGTTCCCCGATCTTGGCGGCATTTACGATCCTCCCGCATGCGCCATAACCATCATTCCACTGGCAGACAGACGCACAACCGGCGTGCGATTTTGACTCGTCATCGTTGACCACATATCGAGGATGAGGGTCAACCTCTTCTTGTAATTGATGACGTGGGTCATGCTGGGACTCTTGCATGTGCGAGCATGACTTGACAAGGTTTGTGTCAGAGTGGCCCATGTTGTGGGCAGGCAAATAGTCATAGGGAGAATAGCTGGAAGAAGCGCGGTGTAGATGCTGTCCAGCAGTATCGCTAAAGAAAAGAAGTTCAATCCGCAAAGAACAAGATCATCAATGCCATCTAAGGATCTCGTACCTTTGAATGTCGCCCTGAGCTATACCCGCATCAAGTACGTCATCACAACTCGGAGGACCCACTGTTTGACTCCCGATTGTCGAGTCTCCGTCACACACAACGTGATACTGGGAAACAACAGGTGTGGAATCGCCGGGAGAATTCTCTAGTACAAAATGCAGGAAGTGTTGGTGAGGCTGAGAAATCGACTGTTCCCATATCAAGACGTCAGCGCTTCACACCGTTCACACGCGAAGACCGAACGCACATGATCGGTAGTTTTTTGTAGGCGCTCTGCATTGGCTGCCTTGACATGTAGGTATAGTTGTGAATCCTCCTGCCTGCATGAGGGGATAAGAAATAAGAAGAAATAGAGCGGCACAGGTCAGACGTACCAGAAATTGTAGGGCGTGTTGCGATCCATGGTGAGCAATGGCATTGAACACTGAAACAATATAAGCCCAGAGATGTGAAATCGCGCCAAGAAGGCCGAGGCCAATGGTTATCTGCAGGCCAAGTGTCAGTGGCATGTAGGTGGGGTCGAGGGAGGTGGAAAGTCACAACTGCCAATCACTAGAGTTTCATATCACATACAACCAAGTACAGATGAGGTCGAAGGCCAGAAACCTTGGAAACAATAGGATATGACAGGGTTTTGTTGAAGTAAATTCAGAGGTAAAAGAAGTGAAAGTCGCATAGGCAGCGATTCCTTTGAAATCGATGGCATTTGGGGTCGTGGTTGTCTGACATCATGGAATGGCAGATCTGGGATTCAAAGGCTTGCCTCTACACGGCCAAGGTCAAGGCGCCCAAAAAATCGGAACAACCCATCTCATTGGTCAAGGAGTTTCTTCCTGTAGTGGCAATATTATCAACGCCTAAACACCCGGCCAGCCATGGCAAAATGAAAAGTCTGTGGCAATCTCCGATTATTGAGGGCAAGTATTATGATGGCAACACGCCTCATGTGGGAGCAGTGTTTTGAGCAGGCGCCGGGAGTCTGCCCTTCTGCCGATGGCAGTAGTAGGCCTTGGGCAGAAGTCGGCAGAAGTCGTGTTTACTACAAGCGGAACGAGCTGGAGAAGATTGATGAAGGAATTGCGCCTGCAGGATTTGTGGTCCGTGGAAGAGATTGATCTGATTGACCGTGAGTCGACCGGTCACAAGGCAGAGAAACAGTCTGGACTTTGGAAAATTCAAGTACTCAGGCGCTGTGGTCGTTTGAGTAGCACTTAATGATAAACCACTATTATGAACGCGCGAAACTACTTATATAAACAATTCTTGAACAATTCTGCTAATTTTTGCCAGCCTTCCTACCGGAACTCGCCCCAAAATAGAGGGTATCAGTATACCCAGAATTGTATACCTTAATCAATGCAAGGAATGAATTTGGTTGTAAGTTGAACACCACGTGGACAACATGTGTGACTTGCAAAACACTGGCGTTTTGATGGCGGCTTGAGTGCAAATTTTAAAACCTATATATAGCATGAGCAGGCACGTTTTAACCGAGGATCATGGAGGTCTCTCGAGCTCGATCATGATCGAGGTTGTCACAATTGGGCACCTCGGGCACGGACGAGTCTCACCGACTGCACTCTGGATCTTAATCAGCCTCGCCTCGTGTCGACCTCCCACATCACCAAGCGATTTCCAATGATGTGGCTCCAGCCGCTGAGGCTAATATTGGTAGTTACGAAGACGACGTTCAATTTGAGGAAGCGGTTCTGTTCCGCCACGTGCGAAGCGAAGCAGGGTCACTATCTCAGATCTGAATCAACCAGGCGGCCAAACTTGAAGCATGGGCTGGTCGGACGAGGACGAGGACTTGAAAGAATTATACACCATATGATCGCATGCCTTGCCAAGATGCCCAGGACTTAATGGCATTCATTACTGCTCTCCGAAAAGCCTATCTCTACACGACACACACTCTAAACTACCTCCAGACGCACTAGATAGACTTCGAAACTTTCCTCGTAAACTCACCGGTATATTAGATCCCGATTTTATCCTTTCCCTAGAATATTCCTTTGCAAATACAACAAACTCTGCTTACAATGCCTACGAGGTCACGAACGAATGACATCCCAAAGATGAATCAACGACATAGAGTCATTACCGTGTTAAGCAAGCTGTCTGTAAACTGGCCCCAGGTTGGGTGACAGTCCAGACAGAGAGAATCAGTTGCCAGGGAGTGCCACATCATGCAAGAACATATCATATCGTATTGCTGGTAGCTGCTAGTACAAAATGTGAAAATGTGAATATAACATACATAATAGTATAAAATAAAAGTAGGATGATAAGTAGTTAAAACAGAGCACGAAAGCGATGAAACGAGATAAGCAAAGCAGCCTGAACAGCACGCAACGCGTGCCCTCAATGCAAGGTACCGTCGATGACTGCCCCGACTGTATAAATCTTGACCCAGGCTTTCGAGGAAACCTGAGTAGAAATTTGGATCAATACTGCAAATACAACTCGAAGGAATACTCACCAATTGAACAGCTTCAGAAGAGTAAGCTCAGTGCAGTATCAGTGGTGAGAAACAAGCGACGACATCGAGTGCATCCAAATGAACACAGAACTGTACCATAATCCCATTGTTCATGACTCGCTGGAGCCAACGAAGGATGTACTAAGGGCCCTGTGTATCAAGTTACAGTATGCACCAGCCTGAATATCGTGGGCCGCTGACATTCAAAGTTGTTCCGAGGGGTCGGCTAGAGGCAGAGGCTCCGAGTCAGGGACTATTGAGGAGACTTGATTGTTTAGGCTCAGGGTGCAAGTGGATTACTAGCTGGCGCCGGCGTCGTTGTACAAAGAAACAGAAACAGAAACAGAAACTGGTGTTGATGGCATCATGATTCATGATGGAAACGGATTTCAGACTCCAGATTTTTGTTACTTTGCGCACTACACATGCATCAAACAGCAGGTGGCAGATGTAAATATCACGGAATCCATGCGGTCGAGAAATGATTAATGAATGCTGAGTGCGAGGAAGGCAGAGCTGCTCTCACAAAAAATACTGCAACTAATAAATTGGCACTTTGCAATTGTGTAATACTCTCACGCCCCCGCAATTGGAATGTCAACGTGTTCCACATTTACGGGTCCCGATATAATTAATAATTTAATAACAACCTTTTCGATTCACGTGACTACTCACTCACAATTGTCCTCGACTTAGCTTGAACGGTCAATATACATCATTTTTTATGATTTGTTAGTCGGAACAAATACCAGTTGTTATCATAGTTCTGCTGGCTCTTCTAGGCCAACCTCCTTCGATCTACTGCCGGAAAGTGCCGCTGGCAGAATGGCACCATTCTGCCAACTTGTGCCAAGCGACAACACTAGGTCACCGTTGAACCCAACAACATAGCGAATGGCTCACTGGCAGCGACACGTTTTCCAGGGGACTCCCTTGATCCGCCATGATTCGAACTATATCCACTCTATGGGCACCAGCCACAAAAACAAAGCGCGCACACTGCGGACTCCACGCAAATGATAAATGTGCTGATACAGTGCCATCGTGATATGGCATGCCTCGCACATGGATAACGCGCTGCGATGTATACTTTTGGATGGACACATTCAAGTATAGAAGCTAAGCCGTTGGCATATGAAAGGTATTCTTCATCTTCTTCCTTTTCATCTTATTCCTCTTCATGGCCGCTGGCCCAATCTTAGCGAGCACTTTGTTTTTCTTGCCTCTTCTTGCCACGTCGGCTCAGGCAGCCACCAATTCTGCGACATGGATATGTCCTTCCGATCCTTATCTTGACCCGCGAAACGATCCATGCAATGCTCTTGAATATATCCCTAACAATACCCTCACTGCTGTCACCTTTGGTGAGTGACCACCAAGCTATGGAAACACGTAACTTATGGTGCAAAGTTTATGTACTATTGGTCGTCCTCATTCAGGCTTATCAAGTTGTCTACAATGGCAGACAGTTCATGTTGTCCATGGTCATCGGGGAATACGGCACGTTGCGCTCCTTTGCTTGTTTTGGTTCTTGCTCATGTCGGTTGTAGTTTATGCTCTCGGCTTCGCATTTCGCTTCACTTTGCATTATAGCCCTGACTCATTGTGGATTTTCATCGCTGAAGAATTGATGATCGTGTTGTCTGTGAGTTAGCACCAAACTATTCCTATGAACATGTGTTGATCCTTGAGAAGCCCTGTCTCTTCATTGCTGCGAATTATGCTCTTCTTGGTCGCCTTGCCGGTGAAATCTACTGCGATTATCACGTCTTGCTTGCAGTGAAATGGCTCACCCACATATTCGTCTTCTCCGACATGACTACCCTCTTAATCCAAGTGAGCGTTGAATTTTTATGAATGATCTTCTCTGATGATATGGTGCCAAAGGCGATAGGAGCCTCGCTGGCTACGTCCAATGTTCAAAGTTTGGCATTGATAGGACTTCACGTATGTCCTTGCACCTAGGCGTGTGGGAATCTGTTCTAATAACTATACTTATCAGATGTTTTTGGCTGGTCTTGCTGTGCAACTAGTCTCCTTCATTTTCTTTTGTGCCATCTATGCACGATTCCTCCACAAGGTCTACACTGAGGAACAGGATGTCTGCATGCGAGACTCGAAAAAGCCCTGGTATAGCGACTGGCGAACACTTGCCGCTGCCTTGGCGATCAGTTGTATCGGACTTCTGGTTCGTGTTGCATGTAGACAGTAATCTCTAGTCTTTAACTGATACTTCGATAGATCCGTTCTGTCTACCGTGTTGCGGAAGCTAGTCAGGGCTTCCGCGGCAATCTCAGCACAAGCGAGACAGCCTTCTATTGGGGTGATACGGTTCCCATTTGCTTGGCAATCCTTGTATATGTTCCATTCTGGCCTGGAAGGTTTATAAAGAATAGGATTCATCCCTCTAGTACAACCCCTTGAGGTAAGCCACGCTCATTTCATTTCTTTGGTACAACCCCTTGAGGTAAGCCACGCTCATTTCATTTCTTTGGTACATCATGTTGATCGTCGCCATCATTAGCAAGGTGCCGGAATCGGAGCCTGCGGAAGTTTTCGGCACCGAGCGTCCAGCTGAGCGAAAGCGGCGCTTTCTTCTGTGTTCACTCCTTTGCCTCCGACGACGACCTCGAGCTCGCTCAGACTCCTTCTCGCTTCGAACATCCTCTCTTTTTTGCACCCACCCGCCTGATTCCTTAAGTTTTGTTTCGCATTATTCACGCACACGCATATATCGTAGCACAATCATGAATCCAACAGTATTTGACACACCTTGGCCATACCATTTTCCTGTTCAAGTCTTGCACGATTGAATCTGCGATCAGTTGTCCTGCCCACCCAGAGACTCTAGTTGCTTGCATTGCCTCTCAAGATCGTGTCGACGAACAGCAGTCGTCAGCGCAGGCGAAGCTACATTATCGCATTTCTTTGTTCTTCTTACCACGTGTTAGTTTATTCTAGAGACCTCGGTCCTGATCTAACGATTTTTGATGATGAACTTAAAATCGATCACACTGGGCTTTTAAATTCAAGTAGCCGGCCTATATAAGTGCTGCTCAATTCTTAAATGTCGTTGTCAATGTCGACTTCACCTTACGGCCAACCTCTCGTAAATTACTCACGTAGACCCTAAACCTTCCTGATTTGTCCAACACCACGTAACTTAATATTATTGCAAGTCCTACAAGCTTGAAACTTGAAGTTGTGGCAGACAACACCGTACAATGAACTACTTCACTCCTAATAATACCAGATATCATCCCTTCAGTCCAGTTCCCTCGCAAAATGCAGTCCCAAATCAGCGAGAACAGCAGTCATTGGCTGGTTTAACTTACATGGCTGTACAAGGTGGAAATAGACCTTCACAGGAATTCACGGCTGGATACCCTGATGATGCTCGGCGGCAGCAGTGGCAAATCAACCCTACACATCGAGATGCTTACTGGTATGATGCACAGTAAATATTTTCATATTCAAACTGCAGTCGGCACTGAAATTCAACACAGTCAAAATATGTGGGTCCCTCGTACTAGGGAGAACCAACATACTATTATTCAGCCAGAGCAACCTTGTCAGCAACAACATGTACAGGTTAGTAGCCATCGAGAAAAGATATGTATATGCTCACAGGTTTTATTCAAAGCTTCCACAAACTTGTCAACCAGTGGCACTACCCGGTCACAGTGAACATCAACCCCACACGGTGTCTTAATAACCGAGGGTCTTATATAAAGTCGTGTAAATGTAATGACACCACAATTACACTTTGGATAAGACTGCTTGCCAGTCCTCGATTAACACGGTCTACGACTTTTCCTATTTCGTGGTAGATAACGTGTGAGTTCTTGGGAGGCTCGCTAAACTAATCTTTTATTAAGATCAACCTAGCCGGAGCTTTACTTTTCTTAATTGAAACTCAAATCTCTTGTCTAGGAATAAGCTTCTAGACACGTAATTCGGTTTCTGAAATGTATTTGCCTAGGAAATCTCCTTCTAGGCTCTGGACTTGGATACTGGAACTAGTGAGACGTGGTCTCAAATATATGAAATATGACCAAGATCGCTTGGTCTATGGACACCTGACTGTGAGACAATGGTCTCAAATATACGATATATGTTCAAGATCGCTTGAACAAAGGGGACTATAACTTGACCAAGATCGCTTGGTCTATGGGACAACTAGTGAGACGTGGTCTCAACAATATGATAGATGACTAAGATCGCTTAGTCAAAGGGCACAGAGCAATGAGACAAAGGGGTCTCAAAGACAATATATGTGACCAAGAACGCTTGGTCTATGGCACTAATAAGTTTCTAAGGTAAGAAACTTATAATCTCAAGGGAATTCTTTTCCCTGCACTTGTCTCACTTCAAAGGGACTAACTTTGCAAGTGAAATATCTGAGAGGCAGATTGCTACAAATGGGAGATCATATATTTTTGGGGGAGAATGGGCTCTCCTTATATACATTTTGTGTGGGAAAGTAACCTAGGTTCACAAACAATAAAAAATAAGGAGGACCAATCAAAATATTGGGTCAAACCCAATAAAAGAATAAAATACAAGTGAAAGATGGAGCTATGACATCATTGTGGAGCAGAACATTCTGGAATGTGGAGTAATGACATCATAATGACATCAAGAGTGACATCATTGTGGAGCAAAAGATTCCAGAACCTTCCATGAGTGAGTCAGAGTGAGTCATTGTGGAGCAGAATATTCTAGAAGGAAATGACATCATGAATGATGTCATTGTAGAGTAGAATAATCTAGAGCTTGATGACATAATATCTTTCAACAGAATACCTGCAGGAGTATCTGTGGAGTCTTATGACATCATAATGACATCATACCCTATGGGTACAATTTTATGAAGTGTCAGGTGAGTCAAAGCATCCTAATGAAAAAGTAAAGTAAAGAAACACTAGAGAAAAGTAGGTAGCAAAAATAAGACAGTTGGCAGGAATTGAAACACAGTCAAAAAAATAATGCAGTTGGCAGGAATTGAAACATGGTCTTTTTGGATAGGTTTTTTATTGGCTTTGTACTTTTCTCTATGGTTTTCTCTAGCCAAAGTGAATAAGCCAAAGGCAAGGCTATACCTTAACCTTCATTTCCCTTCTCACATCAACTAGGTCTAAATGTGATTCCCATCTCACATTAGACTTTTTCCGTCAAAACGTATTCAGATCATGAAACTTGGGGAAAACTAGAAATATGGACCATGGTTTGAAACCAAGGTATGGGTTGACTAGTCTGAGGACTAAGCTAGCAGACTTTATCTTTTGAGGGTCACCTAGTATTCATGTCCATGCATGATTCCCACATCATGCAGGACAACGGACCACAATTGTGAGGGTGCACATAGCTTGCCGAGTGCCGAAGAACTGCAGAAAAACATTCAAGAAACCAAGAACAACCCACCGGGGAGCGGCACGAAGCCACAGAAAGATATTAAAACACCTCCGAAACAGTCTGCTCCAGCAAAAGTGTTGAAACGAAAGAGCACAGCGAAATCAAAGGCTGAAGGTAATCAAGCTATAGCAAAGCTCGAAGATCAAGGGAACTGGTCAGATGAAGACACAAAGTTGTTACTAGAGACTCTCCTTGGAAGCGACAGCCAGCTCTATGAAAAGTTAATGGTGAATGCAAAGTATGTTTATAAGAAGGTAGTTGACATAGGATTATTGTGATATTTCGATGCTGATCAGTACCCTTACAGGTAGCATCAACAGTATTCAATGGCCGTCGCAGTCCAGAATCAGTGAGGGGTCGTTATGAACGACTGCGGAAGGTTTTTTCGTATATTCTCAATTTTGAGTCGATGACTGGAAATGGTGGGGGTGATCCAGATGTTGACGAGCTTGATGACAAGATTGAAAATGCACGGACAGCGGGAAAAGATGTTGGAACACTGTCTGGTGCCATGTTAAAGAAGTGGTACGTGGAAGGATGGTATAGCTTATTTAATGAGCGGTAAGTTTGTTTGGGGTAAGTGCGGAATCAAATACTCACAAACGTGTAGACTCGGCGAACACCCAGGTCTTGTGCGAGAAGAAGAATTCCGTTCTGGGACGATTTCTGATGCCATCATTGAAATCGGAGATAGCAACAATGAGAGCAACAAAGGTGATACTAGTGATGATGGATTCAGCTCAGATGAAAGCAGCAAGAAGACCACATGACCAAAGAAGAAACCTAAAGTTACAGCTTCAAGGTCCAAAAATGAAAAACCCGTCTCGCAGAAAGGAGTTCCCGCACCACGTCACAAGCGGCAGGTTTCGCAAAACGTTGGCAATGAAGCAGCAAATTTTTTTGCTTCCAATGCCGAGTACTTGAAGGCTACTACAAATGGGGACAGCGAACGACTAAAATTGCTCAAGCGACGAGAAGTTCAAGAGGATAAACAGCATGGATTGATGATGGAGAAAGGAAAGGCCGAGGTAAAGCTAGCAGAAATTGAAACCAAAGTAAGGAATGCACGGGAGGTTTTGTTGATTGACGGAATGCCGGACGAGGTAAAGGCAGCTGCTCGTCAAGTCCTAATTGACTACTTCACTAGTGCCCATTAATTGTCGTCAGGTATCATAGCGGAAAAAGATCATTTAATATTGCGAGCCTCCGCCGTCGGCCAGCTTCCTTCAACCACTCATCCGTTTCCCAGGCAGGAAGTTCAACTTCGACACCCTCAACAAGTCCACCATAGCCCGCGACATCAACATCATTTGTACCATCATCATTCTCGTCATCACGGTCAGGATCCCTGCTATCAAAGAATGGAATATACTCTGGACAGTCACCCATGTCTATGCACAGATTGTGTAGCACAAATAATGCTTCGACTGTGCGGTAGGTGTCGCGAATGTCTTGCTCCGGTGGCAGGTCCCTCAAGCTCGGAAAATGGCCCTTCAGCATACCAAATGCGTGCTCCACGGTAATCCGTTGCGACGATAGACGTTTATTAAATTTGCGGCGGCGTTGTTTTTCCGCAGGTGGCTGGCCATTGACCTCTGGCTCAGTGAAAGGACGAAGAACATATGGTGATGACGGATAACCTTTATCAGCAAGGAGAAGCATACCATCGCGAAGGTATTCATGTCGATGCCACCAAATGTGGGACTTCTTCCACATTGTGACATCTGATACTGATCTGGGCCAGCCAAGCTCGATCCCAGTGAACCACGTTTCGTGATCGACGATGGCTTGAATATTGATCTGTATGACAAGTGAGTGGGCACAAAATATTATAAATTCAGTGAACTCACAGCAGGGTATTTTTTTCGGCATATAAAAGAAAACCCATTACGTTCTGGCATTTCAGTGAGACGTACGAGGGAGCCGTCTAGCATGCCAACACAGTCTGGAATGCCAGACCGGCCCATGACATGTGTCGCAACTTGTTGTAGACGGTCATCATTTCCCCATGTCACAACATCCAAACCCAGCTCCCGCAGCGCACACACGACACGTTTGCAGTACATGAAAACAGTACCAAAACCAATTCCGAGCTTGTGCACAGCTTGCATGGAGTCAGCGCCACGAGTTCCATAACGCAGAAGAAAGCACGCCAGTTGATAGCGCACGGGACGCTGCGGCTTCTTTCCAGTGGACTCGAAGATGGGATTCCGCTCTAAAAGGCGCACCAAGCGGTCAAATGTAGGGCGGCTGACACTAAAATGACTAGACATGAGTACATTTCGACAGATTGAAAAATGTTTGCACCGATACTCATGGCGAAAGTCTCGATCTGGCCAGCACATCGAAATTTCAAAAAACTCGGTGCATTTTTGCCACTGATTGTAAGGGCCTCGGGAGTGAGTTGATAATATGATGGAGAGTGCGTGAAGACCTGCGCTCATGCGAGCGAAATAACGCGAGGTATGATTTTCTTCATCTTCGTCGTGATCTTGTCTGTTGAAGGGCTGTTCAAAACGGCCTTGCTCATGCCGGGATACAGCAAGCATACTGGCCTGTACAGAGTGTAAGGTTAGAAGCTCTCTTAAATCTCTCTTTCGAGGCTGCACGCGAGGCATATGTCTGTGTGAGGATGATAGTAGACGTCGAACGGTTGATTGACGACTCGATAAGCAATTGAATCAGCGTGGAGTTCAACACAACACATGACTAACCCTACTTCGGCAATCACCGTGTACCTCGGATAAGCGACGGCAATCATGTTCACGTACAGTACTCAGCTGATATCGACAACGACATTTTAGAATTGAGCAGCACTATATACTTGATTTGTCAGCTCTTTTGTCGTTGTCGCTACTCCCTCTCGTTTTGCTGGTGGTGTTGAATCAAGGAGCACCCTCACGACGGGTTGTCCGTCGTGTTTTACGCAAGTTTTTTGAGGTCTCTCAAGTTCGACGAGCAGTTCGTGATGCCCGCTGTTCCCACATCCTCCTCACCATAACAACTATGCTACCATCGCTCGTGCACGTTTCATTCGCGTTCAGACAACAGGACTACTTCCGTGACATGCTGCGAGTGCATGCGTAAGACGCTGAGTGTGCCGGTAATCTCATGGTGTTCCTGCTCTCAAAGAGGCCTCAACCATCGACATTCTGCACATCAGATTATGCCTGACCCATTCTCCAATCCTTCGGAGCGCTCAAGTTGTAATGGATCCAGTCCTGAACCTCTTGCGGCGAGTAACAATGATACAAATCAAGCGAAGCGGCGTAGCCGAGGTTGTGAAGGTAATGCTGGTCACAATGATCAGGATCATACATAGTCCTTGGCATCGGGCCAGGAGTTCTTACCAAGCCTCAGCCATCTTGCAATTTTTTCTTGCTAGTCTTGGGCCCATCTTAAAACGTGTTCCGGCGTGCTCTCCCCAGGTCTACTATCTTTCACATGCTGCTAACCCCACGCACGTATACTTCTCTCTCTGTTTGATTGCGCTCTGTCATGCTTTATCCGTCTTTGTTGACTTCAATTTCAACATTCTGAATTCGATGTAGCACGCCCAAACTTGGTTTAAGCTGACATTTTTGTTGTGGGGCACCTTGCAACACGCGGACGCACAACTTCCCGTACTATTAATATCTTCGCATTTGCCCAAAGTCATTCGGAGCCGAGCCTTAGAGTATATGGATAAGCTGAGTGGAGCCTGACATTCGGGTGCAACGAGGCGATAACGGTCACATTGGCTTTCTCCAGCTTTCAGGTGTGTATTCAAGAACTGTTTCATATCGAGTTCATACCTTGACTCACACTTGTGCTAGTAGACTTGGTCTACATACGTCTCATTGTCACGACTTTGACCATCCCAGCACCGCGATATCGCCCACTTAGTACAGCTGAGTACGGACGGCATGTGCGTTCTCTATTTGACACCGGATCTATCTCTTACAGCTATCATCATGAATCGTGATTGCTACACAACTGCGAATCAATATTGGCAAAATTTCAAACTAGGTTTCGAATTCCTCGTCGATCCTCCAAATGAGAATTCATCTAGATCTCTATGGATCTTCATAATTTCATTTTGCTTCCGTCGATCTCTGATGATATTTTCCCCTTCAGACAATCTCTTTGCGTCGCTCATATGAAATTCGCAAAACCAGGTGATACCACATGTTACATCTAGTATATCTCGAATTTGATCATTGTTGTCAAGCAAATGTAGTTATGCAGTATCTTTTGTACGAGCAAGACTGTCTATGTAGGCGAGCGAAGCGCCATCTCCCTATCATCTTCAAGGCGACAGAGCGAAGGTGCGCATCGTGTTCTCGCTTATGATCAAAGATGTCGATGCACCCTCAGAGTACTTAATCACATGCTTGACCACCCTCCAGCAGGTGGTGAGATTTTATCAGATTCACGACTGTCAAACATGTTACATGCGTAGTATAGGAAACTACTAGTAGGGAGCTTAACGCGCAACTGGTTCAAAGATATGCACAATACATATGGTCTGTACAGAAACAACAGCGAGTAATATCGACTGAAAACAAACTAGAGCAAGAAATGAGTATAGATGAAGATACGATCAGCATTAACGCAGGCGTGTATTTTTCCGGGATTGACAAAAACCGGCCCCAGCAGGAGAGGCTACCCAGAGCTTGCATCGATACCTGAGTCCGAGATGTTTCTCCAGGATGTGGCGGGTGATTGTATCTCGGCGCACAGGCTTCCGGAGTTCACAGTCCTTCCATAGACATTCTAAACGCTCGTCGGCGGGCAAAGGTGACTTGAAATGGTATGAAGACATATGTTCACCGATCCTAGCTCCATTTATGGTTCTCCCGCATATGCCACGACCAGCATTCCACTGGCACACAAACGTAGGACCGATGTGCGATTCTGACTTATCACCATTGACCACATATTGAGGGTATACCTCTTTTTGCAATTGATTGCGTTGGTCATGCTGGAACCCTTGCATGGGTGACCATGGGTCGGCAAGGTTTGTGTCAGCAAAGCTCATGTTGTGGGCAGGCGAATAGTTGGAAGAAACGTGGCGTAGATGCTGTCCAGCAACGTGACTAAAGGAATCCGCTAAGAACGAGATCATCGATATTATTTAAGGATCTCGTACCTTTGAAGGTCGCCCTGGACTATCGGGATCGGACCCACTGTTTGGCCCTCGATTGTTGAGTTTCCGTCACATGCAATGTGATGCTGGTGAAAAATGGGTATAGACTCGCAAGGAGAATTCTCTGGTACAGAATGCAGGAAGTGTTGGTGAGGTTGAGCAATCAACTGTCCCTATAGGGAGATGTCAGCGCTTCACACCGTTCACACGCGAAGACCGAACGTACATAATCGGTGCTAGTTGTTTGCAGGTGCTCCATTATTGATGCCTTGACGTGTGGGTATAGTTCTGAATCCTGCAGCCTATACGAGGGGATAAGAGATGAGAAGAAATAGACCAGCACAGATCAGGCGCACCAGAAACTGTAGGGCATGGTGCAATCCATTGTGAGTAATGGCATTGAACACTAAAACAATATAAGCCCAGAGACATGAGATCGTGCCAGAAAGGAGAAAGGCCGAAGGCCGACTATTTTCTGCAGGCCAAGGGTCAGTGGCACGTAGGCAAAGTCGGAGGAGATGGGAAGGCATGACTGCCAATCACTAAAGTTTCATATCACATGCGCAACACAAAGTACAGAAGCCAAAGGCCAGAAATTTCGGAGAATGATAAGAGGGTCTTGATGAAGCCAATCCAGAGTTGAAAGAAGCAGTGAAAGTTGCAAGGAGGTAGCGATGGCATTTCGGGCCAGTGATATCGTGGAACAGATCTGCGACTCCAAAGTCACTCGACGCTCCCAGAATGACTCCATTGGTCATACTGCTTACGATATCACATGCCAACGACGGCAACGGGGCAATGCAAGTCATTGCAAGAGTAGGTGAGTTCCAGCATTCAGTGCGGTGATAAACGGTTTACTGGCCTTCATAATTAGCTTAGTAATCAGTCTAATACGATAGCTAATTCGGATCGATAAAAGTTACGTTTTGACCTCTCTACCTACCAAGTCCGAGTCCGCCTGCCAGTGTACCCTTCAATCACTGGCACATAGGATTTTTACCCGACGAAGCGAATTTCCGCTTCTTCTTTTGCTATGCGATCATGTTCCGATATTTACCTTTGGGGTTTGAACAGCTTGAGACGCTAGCGGATTTCTATAGTAGTTATCTGTGATAATTAGTAATCATGGAACTTCATCCTGATCAGATACTACATGCAAGATACATGCGGCAGGTAATTCAACTGTTAGCTGCACTCTTCATGCAGTGCAGTGCCAACCCAGCGGCCTGTCAAAGTGTTGTACTTGCAAGTACAAAGACCGCGTGTAACTTTGTACCCGCAGTGCTGGGTGGGAACAAATTGGAAGCTTATATATATATTATATATAAGGGTGCTCAGCGCTCAGCGCTCAATCCCAAAGCCCCCTTCCCACTCGTTCCTGTGTAAGCCAGAAAGACACTGATGATACCGATATATAAGGGCATGCTATCTACCAGCACTCCACGTTTAATGTCGTTATCATCGGTAGAAAATTTCTGGCCTTGGACTGATCAAATGTCACCGAAGGCCAAACCACGGTGATATTTGACAATCGCGGGTTCCGTGTCACTTTTCAGGCCTTCGAGCGGAAGGTTGCAATGTTTGGCCTTCATATCACGTTGCGTGAGTGGTATTATCCATCTCGTGGCTTGCCTTATGTGGTGCCTTACCATCCTTCTCAGCCTATCACTGGAAGCTTTACATGAACCAGCCAGGATGCCGCCGTAAAATGTGCTCAGAAGATCGCGATCTAGCGGCCATTGCTAGAGCTAAATCTACATTGTGGTCAGTATACTTATCAATAAAATTTCGATAGCGCATTATAATCCGCATCATCTGGGCATTTCGATACCCTCTACAGGCGTTACGAATGAAATCTCGCTTCATTATTAGGGGGATGCAAGCCTCCGAGTCACAGATGCTAGTCTGGACTCAGATCGTCCAACATGGCACCGTTGAAATGAATTTCACCTTGGCAGCCAGTCTCTGGCCTTCGGCCTTGTCATCTTTCGTATTCTTCCATTCTTGTCCTAGCTCCCCTTACATGCCGGCGGTTCATGGTCTGCAAGTCACCTTTGGTTTGTCGTCCTTCTCGGTCAGTCTTGCGATCCATGTCACTACATAAGATGTTTTCTTTTTCTTTTTCTTTTTCTTCAAAACCATGTCTAGTCCCTCTTCCTCGGAGGATCGCGAGATATCTTATAATTTCTGGTGCGTTTGTACTCTTGCGTTTCTTTTCGATATAAATCCCTTGTACAGGCGAGAACATTCGGAGCTATCCAAGGCATTCAGTGTATGTTTTGTCTGTGCTTGTAAACTGTAGTACGCTGATTTTTTTTGCTGTAGGACCCATCGTTCTTTCGGTCCTCGGAAGGATTACTACCTGCCTTCACCTCCAGAAGATCCCCCGCCAACCATGGCTACTCAGCATCAGCTTATGTATGACGGAGGCTTGAAGAACAATGATCAGCGTCATGTTCGCAGGTACGAGTTCTTCAATGTTCCTATTGAAGGGAATTTAACTACCTCATTGATAGTGCTACTGGACACCCTTCGGACGCCTCTCTCAATATGGGGTCTTCATGCAATGTTTCTGTATCATGTCGCGTGGAGGGTCGCCCTTACCCGGTTCATAATAGCCAATTACAACTGCATGGATCTTCTTCAGCGGAGCACAGAGTGGGTTATGATTTCTGGTGCGTTCCTACTCCTTGAACAACTACGTTTCTTTAAGTCGGTGTCGATTTCTTGCATAGGAAGCAGGATTCGGAGCTATTCAATGCATTGCACGCAGAACCGCCGGGATTTGTCCATCATGTATGTTTTGTCTATGCTTGTAAACAGAGTGCGCTGATATATTTATATATTGTTCTAGGGCCTGTCCTCCTTTCAGCCTCAGCAGAACTACTACTTGCCTTCACCTCCAGAGGATCCCCCAGCGACCGTGGTTGCTCAGCATCAGCTTATGTATGACGGAGACTCGACGAACAACGATCAGGCTCCTGCTCATCTAGAGTTTTCTCGTAACAATGGTCTATCTTTGAGTGATTCGACGCACTCGTTCCTTGAGAACGGTCAGTATAATATTCACATGTACGAGTTCTCCAATGATCATGTTTAATGAAAAATAACTCTTATATTGATAGTGCTGCTGGACAGCCTTCGGACAACGTCTCTTTCAACGATTTCCACTCTCCTCAGTCTTTCTCCGATGATGGTGACGCTCACACGGTTCGTGAAAACCAATCATCATCGCACGGATTTAGCCACTTGTTAGTCTGCAAGTGGAAAGATGATCGCGGTCTATGCAACAAGACTGAAAATGAACTCCGAAAGATGGTGAAGCATGTGAGGTCATCTCATCTCCCACCGCATAGTCGCGCCACTATGAAATGTCAATGGGAGGGATGTAAAGATTCTATCTGCCGAGATACAATTTTTCGCCACATTCGTCAAATTCACCTCGAAATCGGATCGCGACGCCAGGCATAGGTTACTTCGATTCGCACATGAATAGACTCCCTCACGATCCGCGGCCCATATTGTTCACAATTGGCAGCAAAGTCTGAGGGTCTCTAGTACATCATCGAGTGTGTCTCTTGCACCTCATCATAATTAAGGAGCCTCTGGCGCTGTCTCCGAGCCCCTCCGCATCGCTATATGTAATTTGATCCCCCCACACTCATGTTTCGTTTTCCCCTCACGCTTATGTTATGTTGTTTTCTCTCGCTTCTTATATTGTGTTTCCCTTTGTAGTTATGTTATGTCACCTATGTTGTTTCGTGCTTTCGTACTTGAGAATGTTTCTTAATAGATTCTTGGTGAATTTAATCGGGTTCTGAAGACAACAAGAGCAAGCTTTGGAGCTGAAAAATATTCTCAAGGACGAACAACTTGTTTAAAAGTTACATGAAGTAAGGTAAAAGCATCTTATAAATAAATTGCCACGAGTTTGTTGGAAAGCGACATAACAAGAAACACTAGTTACAAGAAAGCAGGAAACAGATATTAAACGGCAGTTGAAGAATTTGTGATTAAAACGGCTGTGGATGACAGAGTCTAGCCACAGTAAGAATTGAAGTAATCTACGACTGCCGTCGAGGATTGATTTCGAAGTGTAACTGACGTATGTGCCGCAAGATTGTGTCTCGGCGCATGGGCTCTGTACATCCCTGCCATTGACATTCCACAATGATGGCACCAGGAACACGACGCAGATGTGATGACGACATATGCTTCGCGACGTCTTTTTTATTTAGAGTCTTGCCACATAGACCATGACCATCGTTCCACTTGCAGACTAACAAACGGCTAGATGTGTGCGATTCGGAAACATTTCCAGAAGACCTGGGATTGTTGGGAGACGGATTTTCGAAGAAAAGGGGATGGGAATAGTTGAAAGAGGCGTTATGCAAAGCCTGTCCAGTAGCACTATTGAAGGAATTAACTTCCCTCAAGCAGGAACATCGAGGAGCTCATACTTGTAGTCATATCCCATGGATACGCTATAGCTTTGAGAAAATCCTGGTTGAGCAAACACTTGATCGTCGCTCGTCGAGTTCTGCTGAGACTAAGGACGGGCCACGCAGCGAAATATTAGTACAGTACCGTTCACAAGCACAGACGAAACATACATTATCGACAACTACTGGTTCTGTACGCAAAGAGTCGTTGTGTGAAGCCTGTCCAGTAACACTATTGAAGGAGTTAACTTCCCTCAAGCAGGAACATAGAGGAGCTCATACTTGTAGTCATATCCCATGGATACGCTATAGCTTTGGAAAAAGCCTGGTTGAGCAAACACTTGATCGTCGCTCGTCGAGTTCTGCTGGGACTGAACGACGGGCCCCACAGCGAAATATTAGTGCAGTACCGTTTACAAGCACAGAAGAAACACACATCATCGAAAAATAATTGTCCTGTACTCAATGCCCAATTCATCCTATGAAAAGGATCAGCATCAGAAAAAAATACAGGAGTCCGGACGCACCAGGGATCATGATCCATTATGCGATCCAGTGGGAGAGGAAGTCACAGAAATTAGTTCAAAACTCTGAGGTGGCATCATATACGTGAAGGCTAACGACCGTGAAGGCCAACAACTGTGAAGGCCAACAACTGTGAAGGCCGACAACCATGACCAAAGGTGGTTTGTACGTCAAGAACCAAAAGCTTTTCGCGTGTCAAGGGCCGGTGGCATGTAGAGCCAGCTAGGACAAGAATGGAACAGTTGATCACCACGGCAATCCGGCAAGTGTCTTCTGAAGTTGAACAACGCGGTGAATGGCTGAACACCGCGGAGGATGAAGGCCAGAGACTGACTCCTAAGGTGAGATTCATTTCGGGGGATTCATGTTAGAGTAACCCCGAGTGATGCTTGAAGCTAATTTTCTAGGTTTAGCTCTAGCAATGGCCACGACTCCCACGCAGTTGGCCAGCTGGATCGCGATCTTCTAACCAAGCATTATGTTTTCATCCATCTTGGTTATAAAGGGCCATTTGTGAACCTAGCTAGCCAATGTGGTCAGTCGCACCTGACAGAAAAAGGAAGTAAGGAATGCAATGAGATATAGAGAACGCTTACATTATTATAAGCGCTCACCAACAGTGACTCGGATATGGAGGCCAAAGTACTCCACAACCATCGCAAGGGCCTTTGCCCCCGAACCGAACCGTTGAGATACGCTAAGGTACGGTACTGAAGGCCGATCTAATGGTTATGTGCCGCTATCTTGGCCTGTATGCCCATTCGATGAGTCGAAAGGCCACGTGTACTTTCTGTTCAATAGTACCTTGATGGTCAAGCGCTGAATGCAGGCAGACAAATGGAACACACCTTTGCGTGTCGACATCGACAGTGTCTTTCTGATATACACAGGAAAAAGTCGAAAGGTAGGGCACAGGAAATCATGGTGTTCATTACACTTATAACCTCCCAAGTTCGCAGCCCTGCCAAAAAAAAGATCCTGTACAAATCCAGTAGACTTAATTTGGCAGTCTTTGCAGTGCAGATACAGCACTCTGACAGGCCGCGGGTTGGCGAGCGCGACAAACAATTGATTTTTCCTACCGCATGTATCTGATCTGGATATTCTACAGATGAAGTTCCATGATTATGATCGATACTCCAGAAAACGACCACTGTCTCGAGCTATCGGTTTCATGGTTAAAAATAAGCGCACAGCAAGTGAAAATTTCGACAGATTGTTCTGCGACGAATATAATTGAGTTATAAAAATATCTCAACGCTACGTGTGAATGCTCACAGACGGTGAGGAGAAGGATTTCATGGAACTGGCAGAAGATGCAGGAACCGCCAACGCCACACGCCTGTAAGTAGCCAAGACTGTCGCAGTGATTATCGCAGACGTTATTCAGGCTGATTATGAAGCGGCGAGCTTACAATGCCTGCCACATGCAGAACGTTAGTACTGTTCGAAGTCTGCACGAAAAAGAATCGTCTTACAAATATAGTAAGCTTGTTCTGGTAAACAAACAAATCTAGCATCACTCCTGAAACACACTTATCTCGAGGTCCCCGTCAGTAACAGAGCTCCAACGGCACTATGTAGTAATTTATAAGTGTCGCGTTGCTTCCATGTGCCTGATCATATCTCCAAGTTGGAGTCCGGGATACATATTCCATGAGGGAACTTGAAATTCGATTTTCGAACGACCTCTGGAGAACAAGTCGAACGAATTTTAGACAATGAGCCTTGTGCACTAGCCCAGAGTAAGCAGTATGTGGATCATCCATAAGCACAACACGAATGACAATTTAACAAAGCAAAAGCTATGTATCGGGGTCCACAATTCGCCCACTAGGGCCCTACGGAAGAATGTAGGTGAATCGCAGCCAACAAAAAGTAAAGCACAGAACAAGCAGAAGAATTAACGATACGGTGCATAGATACAACAACCAACAGACTAGTGGTAGTAAGAATGAGCAGTGTAGGCGTGGAACCCACGTACTGCCTAGTGATGTGTTGCCTTCACAATACTGACTACGATGATGATTATGATGATTGCGACTGCGACGCCGATGATCATGCGCATCTAAAAGACAGAGTCAGCCTTGAACGTGATGTTGAGCGGCGAATCCAACGGACCTTCATGTCTTTCCACCTAAGAAATTACGAGTTCGATAAATCCTGGTCGCAACTGAAAAGAAAATTATCACGCTCACCACATATTCTGTTGAACATGCTTTAGTATTACATTAATATAAGAAAATTAAGTTAAACTCACCTTCCGTACTCGGTTAGCACCACGACGGAAGCCCTGTGCCGAAACAGCAAGGTTGTCTAGGGAAATAGATTCAAACTTCGCTCAAATACACCAAACCACACAATCAAGCACCTGTCTTATCCTGTAACGAGTCCAATCTCTCTCCACGTTCTGCGACTTTTGTGATGTTCTCCCTCATAATACCGACGGTGTCGTCAATTTGTTGCTGGATAGCTGCGGTTTTAGGGTTTCCACCTTGACTTGACCCGCCAGCGGGATTGGATGAGGAGCCATTGCGGGGGAGGTAAGGGTCGTAAGGTTCGGACCTATGATAAGGATAGATACAGATGAACTACTGCGCCTGCATCATTTGGGAGAACAAACGAACATGACTATAAAAGGACACTAAAAGGGCTCTGAAACGATGAAGTTCAGTAGTGGAATAAGCAGCAGATTAGTATGGTCTCAGTAAAGGAAACACACCGTTGGAAGTGAGATTTGGAGGGGGGAGTTACTTGAGGAGTGACTGGAGTGACTGCGTAGAGGCGTTGCTGAGGTGGGAGGGCAGCGGTATATTCGCACGCACAAGTGACATGTAACCGCTTTGTGACACTTTCTTGTTCCAGGTTTACCCCTCTTTGTGGTACATAGCCCTTTCCAACACACTGCACTGGCTTGCCGCGCAATGATATTCACAGCATCAGGATGACCTATTTGAGCTCTGGCCATTGAATCACAATGACTCAATTTAATACGACAATCCTCGAACTTGGTTTTCATGTTCGCAGTAGGTAGAAGTATGATTTAAAAGTTGACTAGAGAATCAAAATTGAGAACCACTCCAAAACAAAACTGTGCTCCGGATTGATATTTAACATCAGATTACACATATTAATCGTAACCCTGGAATTAATGTGACAATTCACATTGCGGGCTGGCGGTCGCCGTCGACGCCCAGAGTCTCCATCTTTGGTTCGGCGACTGCGTAGGTTCCATGGTCAAAGTATCTTCGAAATTACCAAATTTGGTAACGGAACAAGCCGAAGTTGAATCCCCGCCACCCATCGAATCTACCCCGTCCTCAGAGGCACCACCAAATCAGCAAGCCCCGGCAATTCCGTCAAGGTAAGCAAGAATCCATGCCATTTTTCTTCGCCAAACACCAGGGATGCACCCGTTCTGTTCATGCACGAAGTTGGGGCGAATTCCAGCCAAAGATAGGCTTTAAAAGTGGTGGATGAATCAAACTGATAACGGATGACGTTTCTGGCTTGTCACATATTCATATGAGTTTTGGAAGGGACGCGGACTGACTTATTCTCATCGTGCACGCCGGTTCTATAGATGGTGCGTCTCCACTGCATATACATCCATTGCTGAAATCTAAATCATTCAATGTGTTTGAGTAGAAGGTCGAAATCGACGCGTTCTCCGGTTTCCGTGTGTACCCTTCCAAGGGCAAACTCTTTGTCCGTGGAGACTCCAAAGTCAGCTCTACTCCCAACTTTCAAGCTTCCTGTCTGAACGCCCCTTGCAATATAGGTTTTCCGATTCTCCAGTTCCAAGAACTCTTCCCTGTTCCTCCAGCGCAAGAACCCACGTAAGATCGCATGGACACAGGTCTACCGCCGCATGCACAAGAAGGGTATTACCGAGGAAGTTGCTAAGAAACGTTCTCGCCGGACCGTGAAGCACCAACGTGGCATCGTTGGTGCTGACCTTGCTACTATTGCCGCTAGGCGCAACCAGACCGCTGCTGTCCGCAACCAGCAGAGAATTTCGGCCATTGCAAAGGCCAAGACTGAGAAGAAAGAGAAGGAGTCGAAAAAGGCTAAGGTATGTCGTCAATAATTCAAGGGGTACGTGCGACTTATGCTGGTGTAGCCTGCACGTGCGCCTGTTGCAAGTGGACCTAGGGTATCGAAGCAGCAGATGAAGGGTGGCAAGGGTGGCCGATGAGCAGTTCTTTTGTTGTTGGCACATGCCTATGTATCGCACATTCTTTTCTACATGACTTCTCGCGCGCAAAATATATGCTGCATGCTTCTACATGGTACATCCGCATCTGTTGACTCTTGGGACGTCCGTACGTCTCGTGCATTTCGATGCTCAGTCAGCTTGAGGTAGAGTTGTATTACAGGTATGTGTAGTATGTACAGAATTTCCGCAGGAAGATCTAGAATACGGTGACGGCGGTATATACGAATGTAGTCCAATAGATGAAATAGCAGATCAAAGTTTTGGAGTGTCGTTAACACGCGCCGGCGCGTACTTCGCCTACATATTCCGTTAGAAAAGGCTATAAGATGTGCTTGAAAAAAAAATCACCATCTCGTTCTCCTTCTTGACATAGCCACATTTCTCATAGAATGCTGTGAGACATTGGTCAGTATCAGCGAAAATCTATATAGCAAAAGCAACTCACGAATGTTGGCGTCATTACAATTCAAGATAGTCTTATAACAACCGTTACTCTCACTGATATGCGTAAGAGCTTGGATGATACGGAGACCAAGCTTCTTGCCCTGGTAGTTCTTGTCGACGGCGATATCCTCAACATGGCCGACGCTGCCAAGACCACGGAGGAACTTGCGCTCGATGAAGACGGTGCCGACGCCGACGATCTTGTCGCTCGCCTTGTCAACGATGACAATGGAAAAGTATGCGCACGGCGTTGCGCGCATGGCGTGGAACTGGTTCACCCACGCTACCTCGCCGAGGTCGTTGACGATAGATAGACCGGAGAGGACGTCGAGATGTCCGCGTTTGTAATCTGTTGACGCTAGCGGGCGTATCTGTGTCTTTTAATGCGAAAGCAACGTGAGGGAGCCGATGATCAACTTACCTGAAGATCGGAAGGAAGCTGGGCAGAAACTTCAGAAGAAATGAGGTCTTGAGGAAACATTAGGTCTAGGGATGCGGGATCTGCGCGTGTCGCGGACACAGTGTTGATTATTGACATGGTACTACGTGGTCGTTCGTTGAAGAGCGGTGATCGGGCAAGGTCGATCACGTAATCTACGACCTCGTCCTTGACTCCGATTGAGCACCCTGTTATGAGTCTGGGCTAGCTCGAGCCCTTAATTACCTATGGCAAAAAGTCCGAGCAGCCAGTCTTTCTAGCTCTGGGAAAGACCCCAAGGACGTTGGCGGCTACGTAAGTTGTTTTTCGTTTTTCCTCTTCGTCGACAATGTTGATACCCACCTTTCACCGAATCACCAGCACCACTCGCCCAACCACAACCTCCCCAGAATCTCCCACAGCCCTGGCGCCGCTATCGAAGTGACGCCGGTTATCGTTGACGTCTTCGTACTTCTGCTAGCCTGGCACTACCGACACGACCCACCCCAGTTCCTCATTCCAGCCTCCTGCACATTCCCTGCGGGGTTGCTTGCTCCTACCTCCAGCCCCATACTCGAAGGGCAACAGCATCGTGCAGCCTCTCACTACCTTGGCATACTAACACAGATCCTTCCTCGCCCTTCCATAAATCTAGTGTCAACCACATCCTTCCTTGTGCTCTCGCTAACCTGATACTGCCGCCACGACCTACCGCAGTCTCCCGCTGCTCACTTCGGCCTCCCGCATCTCCTTATTCTCAGCGCCTCGCATGGCCGCCTGTGATATCTTATTTATCCCTGATTAGCATCCTGGTTCTGCGCATCCCCACACCACCCTCTCTATGCAAGTACATTTAATCTATTTTATTGTATACCACATATCATATGTCTGACTTTTCGAGTACAGTGATATTATTGCTTGAACATAGACTGAAATCGGTTGTTGAGTGCTTGCTCGGTTCATAAGCACCATCACTGGTCCACCAGTCCCAAACGGCGAACGATCCATGCATTTTTCATCAAGGAACAAGCTTAAATTTGCAATTAAGCAGACACATGTTATATTTCATGTATATAAATTTCTGAAGACTAGACGAAAAAGCATAATATATGCTGAATACAGTACTTACCTATGGTAGAGTCCATTGTGCGTTGTCTATACTCCTCCATATAATCCAGCGCAACTTTGGCTCGAAATTTAAGACTGATTAATCAGCTCAAAGCCAAAAAGGACTTTGTGATTTTACTGATGAAGATACACGAGCTTGCTGTCTCAGACAGCGAGCACGAAGGTTTGGACGCTAGGCTCGGTTACCCATTGTCCGGAAGGCGCCGGCATCCAAATATAGTCAGAATGCCTAATATTAGTTCCCAGACACGCGGGCGCAACGGCCTAGGGCAGGATACTTCCGAGAACGAGCTCGACGCTGATCTAAGGGCCTAAGGCTCCCCAATATTCAGCATTTATTCATTTGGGTGGGGAGAGGTAGAAACATGTTGACTTAGATACACCATCACCCAGCTGTCAGGTCTAATTAGATCAGGCACGTGGGAGCATCAGGAGATTTATTTTCAAGTCTGACTATCGTTCAACTGGTTGATACACTGACTCCCAAATTTCTGAGGTGACGACACACGAGTTAGAAAATGCAATACAGCAATATCACCAGCTGCAGGTAGTTGAGTCAAAATTTAAAAACGAGCACGTGAAACAACTGGGATTGTATTGCATAGGCACTCAACATGTCAGAAAACAAGCAATCTGGTAAGGATGCAGATGTACAGGGAAGTTTCTTGTGTGTGAGGCTGCAGCGATGCCGGACCTAGTACGCCTCATCCGTTTTCCGATATTTGATATAGTTACGGTCTTCCGCGTTCAGTTCCTCGCGCTGCTCCACAGCTAGCAGCAAGTCAGTACAGTTATCAACTTCCACATGGTAATAAATATGAACACTTACAGGAACGTTTCGCGATGGCTTTATCGCCATACGAGCTGTCAATTTCACCGAAATGTTCTTCATCCGTTTTCCGATATTTGATATAGTTACGGTCTTCTGCGTCCAGTTCCTCGCGCTGCTCCACAGCTGGCAGCAAGTCAGTACAGTTATCAACTTCCACATGGTGATAAATATGAACACTCACAGGAACGTTTCGCGATGCCAGCTCCTTGCATAGTAGGGTACGCTGTAGCAAGAACGATTACAGATGCGAGCACGCTGAACACAAGAGAAAGCTTCATGTTTGAGTTAAGAGGTGCGACTGGTAGGAGTTTGTCGATGCACTACATTGGAAATTTCATGAGGGTTTTATACCTTTTCGTAGATCCGCTCGTGACTCGGGTCACCTGAATTAGCTGCCACCTTGTCTACTAGATTCGAACTTTAACGAGGAAAGGCATCCACCAGAATTCTCATATGGACAACGCTCACGATCTCGTATTCCCCGATCGGCAATTTGAAGGTCACGACGATCCGAACTGTGGAACTCGGGAAGCCACCGTACCCGTGGCCTTTGACCTATGAGACAAAAGCCTGTTTCGGTTCTGTTAGCGTTTGCGTTTTACCTTTTAGATCTCGTAGTACTATTTTGACGTTATCACCATCGACACCACATGTATCTCTTCAATCCTGGCAGCTTCTTGCTTCTTGCCCACACGAATTCTCTCCGTAGGTCAGGTTCTACATAGGATCCAGTTCTGATTGCACAGATAAGGCTTACTGTAAACACGGAGAATTTGATATCTTTATATCACCGCCGCGGCTCTTGCTGGAATGGCATCCCATGGAAGAGTAGATTCTAATTATGTAAAACTTTCATTAGTATCATCGTCAGTCTATAATTCCTGGGTTTTAACTTCACCACGAGTACATCTTACTTCCAAGTGTCACCTGCGAACTTCAAGTCCCTTTTCTTGCGCCTGCTATGCACAAGGAATATTCTGCATCGTATTCTCCCGTCGACGATCGTGACGATGCGAGCCTTCTTGATAGTAATACAGAAACAAGACTTCATCGTTTCTTTCGCTGGTCGCCATGGCTAAGCCACGGTGTGCTGATGTCCATAACGATGATATTCTTCATGCTATGGATACGGGCACCGTCCATCGACGACGTAGTTCTGTACTGTAGGTGGTCAGACAGCCTCAACACACAGGACCTTGCTTACTCGTCACAGCTCCAGCAAACGAAGCGATCGAATCCACCGGCATCATAAGATTCAATGGAACTCTGGGCACCCCTTCTATATATCGTGGCAGCCCGTCTCCAGAAATCGATGCCACTTGGGATAGGGTAGCTTTGAATGGTTGCACCCCACACTTCACCTACATCGTACACATCTACTGACTGTATTTCCCAGCGCGTCAAATCCGTATGACCCGTGAGCAACTGCTCAGAACAGGGGAGAAACCTTCTCCGGCCATGGTCAGGTATCCGGAGGAATACGGCGGAGGTTACATGACAACTGTAGAAGTCATTCACCAGCTCCATTGCTTAGTCAGTTGTACTACAGGAAAGTTGGTCGATTTTTACTCACTCCCCTGTAGGACATGCTTCGCAGAGCCAGCTGGGGTGATCAATCCGCGGGTCATGGCGCTCACGAATCCCCCAAAGAGTTCCGCGTTCATCTCGGTAGGCATGCTGTTTCCTGCCCGGACCATGTCTGCTAATTATGTTGTACCTCAGATCACTGCATCGAGATGCTAAGGCAGATCACCATGTGTCGTGGCGACGTGACAATGCTCACTTACGACTGGGTCAAGGGTGTCGAAAATCCTCTTCCTAACTTCAACGTTCCTCACCGAGGTAGGAACTTGGAGAAGGTCTTTGATTGGGTTGATGAGCATCGTGTTTTCATCCCTAATTCCAAAGTGGTCCGCTTGGAGGATAACGTAGACCTGCCTTCCCCTCCTGGATTATAGTCTCGATATATTCCCATAGTGACGACTCTCGCGTAGATCACGATATGATGACGGTAACAGCCATTTATGATTATCCTCGAACATGTTGAAAAGTCGAATTGATTGATCATTGAGCTGCACCATGAGGTTGGGAACGAGCAAGAAGCCAGCGCAGTATCGAGCAAATATTTTGAATATAGCTCTCCTTCGTGAGCATCATACATCGAGTACCCTTCCAACACAGGTCTATCCGTGAAGTACAGAAATGCAGAAACTAACCCACTCACTATAGCCGATGTCCGGAGACAGTCCAGAAAAGGAGTGTGAGTACTACGACGCAAGTAGAGACAAGAGTCGTAACCCAGATGGCACGAGCCAATAATAATCTCTTCAAATACGGCTCGCGAATGGTGAGCGTACGGAACGGTGTCGACTCTGGACGTCCGGGGAAAACGAGGATGGAATCGAGTTCGCACGAAAATGTGCTTTGATTAGGTTGTACATCAAGAAATCAAGGAGAAGCAGGCGGCAAGGCCGATCCACAGCCCAACGAGACCGACGACGAGTCGGACTAACGAGACACGGGAGTGAGGTTTCTAAACGCTTTACCCCTCAGAAGACGCGGGAAATCATCTTGCTCCATTGCTCTAAAGCAGTACTCCTTCTGCACATGGAACATATGCGCCAACATGTTCAAGTCGCTCTGTGATTTCGGCTCTCGAGTGCTACTGAAGGGAAATGACTTCTCAAGGTGAGTCAACTCCTGCCGTGCCTTAAGCCAAACAACATAGCCGACCGGCGAGTTGCCGAAGCCCATCGCACAACACAATTACTAAGCTAATCAAGGCCAGCAAACCGTTTACTAGCACACACCCGTTGTGCCTTCGGCACAGGAAGCAAAAAGAGCGCTTCGCGCTCTTTGTTGGCTTCCTGGCCTTCGGCTTCATCCTACTTTGGGTATTTTAATAATTATTTTAGGTCTTGAAATAAATTATATTGTATTCATCAAGTTGAGCATGATATGTTACATTCAGATATATTGAACCCTCCTGTTCTCAGCAGGACATACTGCGCTACAGTGCTACAAAGCACTTTGTAGCAAATTATGTTCCCCTCATAAGTTCTCTGATTTTCCCATTCTCCTGTTTCCCTGTTCTCTGTGCAGATGAGAAAAGTAAAAGTAAAATTGAATGTGTTGATCCCATCTCACTTGTCCTCCCGTCCTGTCGTCCTCCCATCCTCTTCTTGTCCCCCCGTCCTGTTGTCCTCCTCCCGTCCTGTTGTCCTCCTCCCATCCTGTTGTCCTCCTCCCGTCCTGTTGTCCTCCTCCCGTCCTGTTGTCCTCCTCCCGTCCTGTTGTCCTCCTCCCGTCCTGTTGTCCTCCTCCCGTCCTGTTGTCCTCCTCCCGTCCTGTTGTCCTCCTCCCGTCCTGTTGTCCTCCTCCCGTCCTGTTGTCCTCCTCCCGTCCTGTTGTCCTCCTCCCGTCCTGTTGTCCTCCTCCCGTCCTGTTGTCCTCCTCCCGTCCTGTTGTCCTCCTCCCGTCCTGTTGTCCTCCTCCCCTCATGTTGTCCTCCTCCCATCCTCTTGGCATCCTCCCATCCTCTTGTCATCCTCCCACTTCTCCTGTTTTCCCATTCTTCTATTTTTTCCCATTCATATGTTTTCCCTTTTTCACTGTTTTCCTGTTCTCCATTCTCCTGTTCTCCAATTTTCCCCATTCTCATATCTCAATTGTCTTTTCTTCTTAAATTTTTTTCTTAAATATGTAGTTAAATTTATTACGATTTGAATTTCGTAAATAATAAATGTTTTTCAATGAGTGCTGCCCTAACGGGCAGCGGACGCACGTGATAGCCACGCGAGTTTCCAAATCGAGCTTTAAGCGAGGTAAGCGAAACCACATGGCGTTTAGCGAATCTAAGCGTATCTAAGCGTATCTACACGGTGCAAGCGGAAACCACGCGAGCGTCCGTCCCTTCCCGCAACCGTTCTCCCTTACTTTATAGATTTATAGATTTATAGATTACCGCACCGAATGCTGGAACTCACCTACTCTTAGAATGACCCCATGAGGTGTTGTCGGCATGTGATATCGCAAGCAGTACGTATGACTAATGGGGTCATTCCGATTCTGGGACCGCCTCCGAGCGTCCTTGGTCAATTTTGAAGTCGCAGATCTGTTTCACGATCTCACTGGCCTTCGCTGCCTCGTGCAACTTTCACTTCTTTCAACTCTGGATTGGCTTCATCAAGACCCGCTTATCGCTCGAGATATCTGGCCTTTGGCCTCTGTAAAAGTTTGTGTTGTGCATCTGATATGGAGCTTTAGTGATTGGCAGCCATGCCTTCCCATCTCCCCCCGACTTTGCCTACATGCCACCGACCCTTGGCCTGCAAACAATACTTGGCCTTCGGCCTTTCTCCTTTCTGGCACGATCTCACGTCTCTGGGCTTTTATTGTTTTAGTGTTCAATGCCACATCAGGAAAACTACCAGTTGCTTTTTTTACTTTATTTGTCACTTAATTACACGAAAAGGGACGCATAAGTCGATGGAGTGAAAAAGCGCGAGCCACTTAATTAAGCCCACTCGTCCTCTGGATTTTTACTTAATTCACTTAAATAAGCAGAAAAAGCGGTTTAAGCATTTGATAGCAGGATAACGAGGATACATAGAAAGCGTGATAAGCATGAAATTAAGGAGACTCTCAGTAACATAAGGAACTGGGGGAATGGGGGAAAAGGTGGGCATGCAGGCAAAAAAGCAGTCAGCGGCAGAAAACATGATAGCAGAGCTGGCGGAAAACATGATATACGGCAGAAAACAACCACAGGACAGCGAAATTCATGCACTGGCAGGTGCTGCAACAAAAACAAAATCCTGCAACAATGGATGTCAGTGAGAGGGCGCCTGAATGATAAATACTTACAAATCATAGCACGCTTGTCATCCTCCGACTCGTCATCGTCGATCAGCGAGCCCAACGGTGTTTCAGTGACATCATTCAAGGTGGTACACGCCATCTGTACTGTAGTTTCGAGGTACCCAGCAGGCTTGCCTAACAGAGATTTGATGTACGAATTAGTTGGTTTAAGCCAGAGAGCTGCCGAAAATAAAAACGGAATGTTGGTCTTTTTCCCAGTAACTTTGTTGAGGACCTTCGGTAGCCTGATGCTAACCCGACCTCTTGATGCGGATGACAGAACATTTTGAACTTCGAGTACTTCATTTGCGATCATGGAGACAGCGCGCTCAATCTGAAAAAAATGAGCATGATTAAGCCATTATAGGTTGAACTCACCGCTGCAGCAGAAAGAGCAAGAGGCCGTAACATCCCACTTGTTGCAAGTGCGCACATGTCGAATGAGGGAACCTGCACATAACCGGTGATGGCGTTGAGGTGTGCTGTGCCAAATAACTGCAGTACAAAGGGTGAGCGGTATGCAGTAAGTGGAGATGGATTGTCCGGGTCCTCGAACAAGAATGCCCATTCAACATTAAGAGATTTGGCCAGTTTGACAGGATTCACGTCAGAATTTCGTGATAAAAAGTCCATGATGATGACTAGCCCTGTGGAGCCAAAATTGCTGCGCCACTCTGAAATGCGCTGTGCAGTCTGTATAGATTTAGCTCAGGTCGCTAAACCTAGAATTAAACAGCTGACTTACGAGTGAATGTATAACTCCACCGTGAACAACCACTATGTCGAGATCGTTGTACACTGCGTTAAGAACAAGCTGCGCATGATGGAGAAGGACCTCGTCAGGAATACTCCAGATATCTTCATAGCTTCCGGCCCACAGCATTATGGTAGGGATAAAATTCTTCGCCCAGCGCTGATCCATTTGCATCGCTGGAGGTAGGTCAACTGTGCGATAGGCACTGCGTGCTTTGATGTTGTCTGGTGCAGTATCTGCATTCTGCTGGCATGTGGTAGCAGGAGCACCACGGGCATGTAGTGCGGAAGATTTGACCTTAGCCTTTTTATGAGCTGGCGGCTTGCTGTCGACTATAGCCTGAGATGCAGTAACAGATGTCTGTACATTGTCAGAAATGAGTGCGATTAGGGCCAGAATCCTTACTGAATATGTTGTGCGCAGAATTTTCTCCTTCTTTGCTGCGTTAGTTTTGACAGGGAGCGGTGCCTCCGAATCAGAACTCATGATTGCGTCTTCTACCAGTTCCGCATTGCCATCAATCTCCATGGACCAGGACACCAAAGACTCCTCATCGTCTATGGTGCTAGCTTTCCGCTTCAAGAACATATGATTGTCTTCCTGTGTGAATGGCGCCTTAGGCTCCTGTGAGTACTGCTCCTCCGGTAATACTTGTGTCGACAGAGCCATAAGCTCATCATCCGAGTCGTCTGATGCCTCTGGTGGAGCCTCAGGCTCATCGACATCATAGTCCTCTTCGTATAGCGTGACAACCTGTGAAAGAAGGAATTAGTAGATTCGGATGCTGGCAATGAATCACTGCCAATAGTACCTTAGATTTCCCCTTGTTTTTCTTGCTCCCCAAGAGAGCATCCTCACGCTCCAACGAATCGTCGATATCATCTGCAAACGCGCCAGTAAGAGTATCGTCTGCGACACCATCCGGAATTTGAGGCAAAGCTGCAGGAATCTTAGTCGGAAGCTCAGCGGCTGAAGTCGGTGCGGAGGAAGCATTGCCCTCTGAGAAAATTGATGACGGAGGTGCTCGAGTTGAAGTGCTATCAATGGATGGACATGACAGCGGCTCTGGATTTCCAGGTTTGACCCCTGAGATCCAGTTGGTCACTCGGCCACCTAATGCAAGTTTTGTGGATGTGTTGATACTGGAAGTAAGGTTTAGAAAAAAGAGTGTCCGATTCAGTGAGGAGCAACATGGTAATGTGAGAGATAAAAGCCTTACGGTGATTTCCCATCAGCACGTGCATCATCACCTTCCACTTTTGACTCAGGATGATTCAGTGAGCTTCTTTTGCATGTTACTGATGGCATCCCTTATCAACGTCTTTGCGACTTTCTTCGTCACCATCTTTTTCCCCCTTCCTGCAGCTTTATTTTCCACATCCCTGGCAATGTCAGTCTCTGACACTAGGTCCTCCAACATACCACTATCAGCAGGACTGTCACCACCACCGGTGTCTCCTACCACAGACTTTTTCTGAGTCACTTTTGGCTTTATCGCCTTGGCCCTAGGCTTGGGCCGGAACGGGAGTCGCCTTTTTCATGATCAATTCCTTCTGGGCTTTCTCCATCTCAGCCTGCAGAGCAGCAATACGCTCAACCCCCTTTTGGTGCGCTGCTTCCTTTGCTTCTCTCGCTTCTTTGATGACAAGGTCATCCTGCAGCCTTTTGAGCCGGGGATCGCCTCTTGATCTTCGTGTCGAGCAACACCTTAGCAGGTCGGGCAGTTGCAGTCGATGGGCGGGTGCGCCGGGGAGCGTCTGTCATGGACATGACTGTGCAGATGGGGGAGACGGTGAGGGATAAGACTTTGCGGAAGAGGAAAAGAAAAGTAGGGTTTCAAGTTGAGAAAAAAAGTCGTAAGTCCCACCCCCAACAGCTGCCGACTGTGGTAATCGGGGTGTCACCTTTTGTTTAATAGTATCAAACTAGTACTAGTATGTGTGTTCGGCACTTCAAGTTCTCTGCCTTACTTTATTTTACAGTCAAGATGCCCATCGCTCGCAGGGACCATAGTTCTCTCCAGTTTCCCTGCGGTTACTTACACTGCGCACGTCATTTCAAGTCTCAGGGAGGGCGCAAAAAACACTGGAACACCTCACACTCAATATTCGGACCAGCTCCTGCTACCACCAGCGTCTCACACACTGCTACCACCAGCGTCTCGCACACCACTACAGTTGAAGAGCAGCCTGAAGTACTGGATGGCCACTTCTCAGCAGGTCATGACAACATCTCTGCAGGCGGTGACAATTTTCCTGCGGGTACATCTGACCCAAGTCAGGCACTTAATGAGCCTGACATTCCAGATAATTTGAACGCAGAATTTTTTGGGCCGGGTGATAGATTATACCGCAACTATCACCCAAAACTAAATGGTATGTTTCACAAAGTCCTTCCAGCTAGTTACAACTAACACGTATATCAATATAAGCTCGTCCTTGCGACGTGACAGGACGATTCCTTGCAGATGGAGCGCCCCCGACACCACCTCCAATCAAGTCACCCGATGACTGGGCTCCATATCGAAATCGTGTCGAGTTCGAGACTGCAGAATTTCTGTACACGCGCAACCAAATGTCTGCCGGAGACATCAATATCTTATTGGATCTTTGGGCTGCAACCCTCCTCAAATACAACGACAAACCTCCGTTTGCGGACCACCGTGATTTGTATAAAACTATTGACGCTACGCCAGTGGGTGATGTCAAATGGCAATCCCTCAAGGTCCAGTACACTGGGGAGAAGCCCGAAACCAATGTACTACCCTGGATGGACCAATCTCACGATGTCTGGTACCGAGACCCCCATGAGGTTATTCAGAACATGTTGGGGAATCCGGACTACGCTACAGAGATGGATTATCGGCCCTACCGTGAGTATTTGACTGATGGCGATGAACGCCAATGGCAGGACTTCATGTCTGGTGACTGGGCATGGAACCAAGCGGTACGTTGTCTTTCATTGTTTTCTGTCGCTACACATGCTGAAAATTTCAGTAGGAAACTATTTCTGAAGATCCGGATACACTCGGCTCAACGTTTGTGCCGGTTATACTCGGAAGCGACAAGACAACAGTCTCAGTGGCGACTGGTGCCAACGATTACTATCCCTTGTATGTATCAATCGGGAATGTTCGTAATAATGTCCGACGTGCACATCGTGATGCCGTTGCCATTATTGGCTTCCTCGCTATGCCAAAAAGTATGTTTCACACTACTACTATTGTTCTGCGCTAATCACAGTCAAGCAGCTACAGAGGAGCACGCAAAAGACTCAAAATTTCGGAAATTCCGTCGGCAACTGTTTCATTCATCTGTCGCCAAGATTCTCGAGAACTTAAGGCCTGGTATGACCACACCAGAGGTTGTACGCTTCGGTGACGGCCACTATCGGCGTGTAATTTATGGCCTTGGACCATACATTGCAGATTACGAGGAGCAGGTTCTACTAGCGTGCATAGTGCGCAATTGGTGTCCGAGGTATGTTCCTAAATTATCTCCAACATCCCTCTACCTTAATGCTACTAGGTGTATGTCACATCCTGACAGTTTAGACACGAAGTCACTGTGTCGTCGACGTGACCATACAGAAGCGTTAGTTGAAGAGGCAACCTATGGTGCTTTGTGGATGGAGTATGGGATTGTTGGTGACCTTGTTGTAAGTCTCGCGCATCTTTTCTATCGGAGTTGAGACTCAATCCTTTCTAGCCGTTCACAAACGATTTTCCACGCGGCGATATTCACGAACTTATCGCGCCGGATATCCTGCATCAACTGATTAAGGGAACCTTCAAGGATCACCTAGTCAAGTGGGTTGGACAGTATCTGCAACATGTCCATGGTACGAAAGAAGCGGAGAGAATTCAAGCTGATATAGATCGAAGGTGCGTCACTTTGTCTCGAGTTGATGATTCGAAAGCTCACATCATCAAAGAATTGCTGCGGTTGCTTCATTTGCAGGTCTCCGACGATTTCCAGAAGGTCGGGGATTCAAACAATGGACGGGCGATGATTCAAAAGCCCTCATGAAGGTTAGTTCACTATCACATTAACTAGGATATTGCAACTCGGCTAACAATAATTCAGGTCTATTTACCTGCCATCGAAGGTCACGTCCCAACAGATGTGGTGCGCACGTTTCGCGCATTTCTCGAATTTTGCTATCTCGTACGGCGCAACATCATTACAGAATCTACTTTAGGTCAAATTCAGGAGGCTCTTGACCGATTCCATCATTACAGGGAGATATTTGAATCTACGGGTGTTGTCTTCACGTTCTCTCTCCCTCGGCAACACTCTTGTTCCCACTATGTCCTCCTTATCCAACTTTTTGGTGCGCCCAATGACCTTTGCTCCTCGATCACCGAGACGAAACACATCAAAGCTGTCAAGGAGCCATGGAGGCGCTCGAGTTGCTACAAAGCCCTTGGTCAGATGCTGGTGACAAACCAGCGCCTCGATAAGCTCGCAGCAGCACGCATTGATTTCAAGAACCGCGGAATGTTAAACGGCACCTGTCTGTCTGCCACACTCAAGGCATTAAGTAAGTTTTATAACAAGTTACATCTTTATTGTTGGCTTAAATTTACACTAGAGCGTTTGCGCTTAAATAAGATGCCTGATGCCAGCCAACCCAACGAGAATAGCGCCACGGTGCCAGTACTCTTCAACACTGATGTTACTATACAGGGTGATAACGAAGAGGGCGAAATTGACAATGGCCCAACACTGGTGCAGGCCCATGTCCAGTTGGCAAAGACCCCTCGTAAGCTATCTCATATTTTACAGTGAACACTCTTCTAATAGAATCGCAGAACGCAAACGCGCACACACTATACCCGAGCTATCCACGGAACTCTCTATCCCCAATCTCTACAATGTCCTCCGCCGCTTCCTATTCGAACAAGTGTACCCAGACGACCAGCACCCTCCCTCTGAAATCCCGCTTTCGAGATGTCCTCGATTTGATGGGAACATCCAAGTCTTTAATTCTGCATCTTCGACATTCTATGCGCCCAGCGACCGCAGTGGAATTGGCGGTATGCGCCGTGAGCATATTCGTGCCTGTCCTATTTGGAGAAACGAGGTGCCCCGGTATGACTGTGTGTTTGTTAACACAGATGCAAGTGTTGAAGGGATGGTGGGCATGGATATAGCGCGCGTAATGTGTTTTTTTTCTTTCACATTCAATGCAGTTTCGTATCCATGTGCCGTTGTGCGCTGGTTTGACAAAGCCAGCGACGGACCCGACCAGGACACTGGGATGTGGATTGTGACACCTTCGTTTGATACTGACCATTCTTTTTCTGTTGGAATCATCCATATTGATTCTATTTACCGTGCTGCACACCTCATTCCAGTCTATGGAGCACAGATCATTTCACGCGACATCAAGCACCATGACTCATATGATACTTTTCAAGCATTCTATCTGAACAAGTTCGCAGACCATCATGCTTTTGAGGTCGCATCCTAGGTGTTTTGGTCTTCTCGCTCTTGTAAGTTCATTCTGTCCGCTACTCGCATATGTGGTCTAATTACTGCGTCATCAAGTTTGCAGAGGCTAAGCCATGGCGCGTCAGACAGGCTATCATAGAATATATCCCCCTTCTCAACTCTACTTCGACAACGACATGAAAACACGCGTCTCGTCACTCTTGTGCCGCCCCCTCCGAGTCAATATGACCACGGCTCTGCTGTTGCGAGTACAGGTGATGGGGTCATCATCTGCGTGATCTGCGGCGACTTTTCAGCAAGCACTTCAGATCTAGGATGAGCTTGAGCGGAGTGCTTAGACGACGAGTTTGGTGAGCGCAACTTCTGCGCATTAGGTGAGTCTCCATAGTGCTTATTGCAATGCTCAGACCTAACTCCATCATTGAGTTTGCAGAGGCTAAGTCATGGCGCGTCAGACAGGCTATCATAGAATATATCCCCCTTCTCAACTCTATTTCAACAACGATATGAAAACACGTGTCTCGTCACTCTCGTGCTGTCCCCTCCGAGTCAGGATGACTATGGCTCTGCTGTTGCGGGTACAGGTGATGAGGTCATCATTTGAGGTGACGAAATCTGCATCTGCGTGGTCTGCGGTCATTAGTTTCAGCAAGCGCTGACGGGTGACTTGGACTTGGACTTAGTAGTAGTACTGGTAGTACTACGTGTACCCCACTTATTGCGCTTACAAAACTTTTTCTGCTTTTTGAGCTTTTTTGAATGGTGCCAACTTGTGAACTCTGAATTTGCTTTCCAGAAAGTGCATTAAGTCGGAAAAGTAACACTCCGAGAGAATTTAAGAGACAAAAAGTGAGATAAGTAAGCGGTGGTTTTCCTGATGCATCACTCACAATGCATCGCAGCATGGACTACAATTTCTGGTACGTCTGATTTGTGCTGGTCTATTTCTTCTTATTTCTTATCCCCTCGTATAGGCGGCAGGACTCAGCACTATACCCACACGTCAAGGCATCAAAAACGGAGCACCTGCCCGATTATGTACGTTCGGTCTTCGCGTGTGAACGGTGTGAAGCACTGACATCTTCCTATAGGGACAGTTGACTTCTCAGCCTCACCAACACTTTCTACATTCTGTACCAGAGAATTCTCTTGGCGAGTCTATACCCGTTTTTCACCAGCATCACGTTGCATATGATGGAAACTCAACAATCGAGGGCCAAACAATGGGTCCGATCTTGATAGTCCCGGGCGACCTTCAAAGGTACGAGATCCTTAAATAATATCGACGATCTTGTTCTTAGCGAATTCCTTCAATCACGCTGCTGGACAGCATCTACGCCGAGTTTCTTCCAGCCATTCTCCCTATGCCTCTTGCGACTGTTTCCCTGCCCACAACGTGAGCTTTGCTGACACAAACCTTGCCGACCCATGCAAGGGTTCCAGCATGACCTACGTAATCAATTGCAAGAAGAGGTATACCCTCAATATGTGGTCAATGGTGATAAGTCAGAATCGCACATCGGTCCTGCGTTTATGTGCCAGTGGAATGCTGGTCGTGGCATATGCGGGAGAACCATAAATGGAGCCAGGATAGGTGAACATATGTCTTCATACCATTTCAAGTCACCTTTGCCCGCCGACGAGCGTTTAAAATGTCTATGGAAGGACTGTGAACTCCGGAAGCCTGTGCGCCGAGATACAATCACCCGCCACATCCTGGAGAAACATCTCGGACTCAGGTATCGATGCAAGCTCTGGGTAGCCTCTCCTGCTGGGGCCGGTTTTTGTAGATCCCGGAAAAATGCACGCCTGCGTTAATGCTGATAGTATAGCCTTCATCTATACTCATTTCTTGCTCTAGTCTGTTTTCAGTTGATATTATCGCTGTTGTTTCTGTACAGACCATATGTATTGTGCATATCTTTGAACCAGTTGTGCGTTAAGCTCCCTACTAGTAGTTTCCTATACTATGCATGTAACATATTTGACACAGTACAACGGAGGTAGTGAATCTGATAAAATCTCACCACCTGCCGGAGGGTGGCCAAGCATGTGAGGATGCATCGACATCTTTGATCATAAGAGAGAAGATGATGGCGCTTGCTCGCCTACATAGACAGCCTTGCTCGTACAAAAGACTACATTTACTTAATAACAATGATCAAATTCGAAATATAGATATAACATACGCTATCACCTGGTTTTGCAAATTTCACAAAGAGATGGTCTGAAGGGGAAAATATCATCAGAGATCGACGGAAGCAAAATGAAATTATGAAGATCCATAGAGATCTAGATGAATTCTCATTTGGAGGATCGACGAGGAATTCGAAACCTAGTTTGAAACCTCGAACTTCGAAGCACTCCGATCGACTAGGACCACGCCGTGAGTGTGGATGGTGCTCGGATATCTCTTCCCATTCGAATTTTCTCCACCCCAGGGCCTCATCGTTACGGATATTTGGTCCTGTCCAAGTTTAAAGTCCGACCCACCTCACTGAGCTGGATGTTGCCGTTTGAACAACCGTTACTCTCTCCATGTCCAAATCTGAAGCCCCCTGCAGACAACAGGTGAATACTGATCGATCGATCTATGATATTTTACTATCATTGGGCAACTTCGAGTCTTATTGGGCTTGTGTTTCTAGGAAGTTCTATGACGAAGACTTGAACACGACCCCTCAAGTATGTTCAACGTGCCATGACAGTGCACTGAACAGATTTGAGGAGTCCTGTCTTACCCTTGTCATGAAACCGGCAGTGCAGGTCCTCAATTATAGTGAGTCTCGTTTGAGAGATAAGTGTAACTGTGACACTGACTCGGACTCCAGGAACAAGCACTGTTGCCCTGGCCACAAGGTGCGCTACAGGTACATACTTATACATGGGTGCTCACGAGTCAGTCCCTCTCGTCCCTACCTTTCAATCCTATAGAATGTCACGAAATTGTCAGAATTACCAAACCTCTAAACGGCGAGCCAACGCGAATGGTACCCGACGTATGCATACGTCCCAATACCAACATTTTATTCCACGTTTCATACTACGAGGATTCCAAGTCGGATCTGTGATGTGCGTTTTCAGAGTCCAATCGAGCTCTCTCCATGTAGACCGGGAGACTGAATCATGACTTTGCAGGTCCAGAAAAGAACGAGAAGAAGAATTTCAACGCACTGGCGTTGATACCGAATGTATCATTTACTATGATGTTGCTACGGGCAGCCTTGACATTCGTCCTATTCGAAAAGTTTACGGCGTAATGGGTATCTATTCGGATGTCAATAACACCAGAAATATCAACGAACTAGAACAGAAGCTAGCGCACCTCGAATCTCAGGCAGCCTCCATGATCGAGAGCTTGCATAAAGTGCTTCCTCGGGGTATTATCACTCTGGAGCGCAGTTCTTTGGAGCTCCTGCAAAAATTCCTATTTCTCATGCGTTTTCGCAATGAACCATGCTCCAGTAAAGCCTTCGAAGTGAATTGTCTGGAAAAACAGGCCCGTTGGTGGGTTGAAGACATCCGGAAGGCAATCGTGTTCGATCTGCTGCCGATATGTGGCGGCGTACCCTCAGATACTACCTAGATTCCTCGCATTCAGACCTCATGCGAGATGCAGCAAATGTTGTAGAGTGGTGAAGAAGGTATTCAAGAGATGCATATCCCAGCTGTCACTTATAGCGCTTATATGGACGACTATTTCCTCAGCACTTGGGAAGCTGCGGAAGAGGAAGAATTTATACTCACGCGCAATGCATTCGGTTTATCGGAAGGTTCCTCAGCTCGCTGCCCTGCCTTGCACCGCATATTCGTGCTCAGCCCTCGTATTGCTGTGGTCCTGTGCAATAAGCGACTGCGACCAGAAAAAAAAAGACGCAGAAGGCCAGGTTCACTCAAGAGCTCCTTGCTCGACGTGAATCTATCCGTACTGGTTAAAGTTTACGACGGTAGAGAAGGAAGCGTATGGTTCGAAATCATGAAGCTAACTCGATCTCAAACATTGGAGCTCAATTCCGTTATATTATTCAACCTGGAGCAGACAAGCTCTCTGACCTTCCAGTCAAGGACGAAGATGCTTCGCACTGCGCTTGCATTTCGGAGTAATTTCCCGTCGAGCCATCTGATCACTCCGCTCATTGCACGATTAACTGCCAGCATCAAGACAGAAGAGTTGACCCTTCGCTCATCATGGCAGTCTCCAGCGGTTGCCCCCAACGAGGATTTTGATCCCCTTTCACTCGGTGATCTAGTGCTCTACGTGCTTCTTATGCAAATATGTTCGGGACGCAAGCAGTTCCTTTCGGCATACGATAGGGCACATCTTATCCTGAAAATCATGGCAAAAGCAAAACCCACCTCATTCGCACGCGAAATCGACCGAAAAGTCCGCAGGGCTTTCAAGGCATGCAGAGGAGACATCGAGGATGGGATATCCTTCGCCGAGGGCGTCGATCCCGCCTCTTTACTTTCCGCTCTTCCCAGCGAATCATCCTCTCAACTCTTCCGATTGATGATACTGTACATGAGCGAACGGGGCGCGGTGATGTCTGGAGGCGAAGGGACTTTGGAAATGCTCCAACGTGATGTCGCCGTGGTGAGCTTTCTGCAACGTACGTCATGCAGCCCTGGAGTGTGGCATGCGCTCTCGCATAGCAGCCAGAGGCACCCAAAGATCTTGTCAAGACTGTTCAAAAGGGCACGCCGGCAGATAAATTATCGCAAAATTTTCGCTGTCGCGATTCTCTTCTGGTTATAACAGAGCGTACTCCCTGCGAAAGTATATGGCATGGCTGGGCTTACTACTGGGCCTATCAGTCAACGCTACTACGGGTTAATGGCTTGCATAATCGAATACTTCGATGACCTGGCAGCGCTAGGATTCCCGCCGAATCCGTATAATTCGCAGCCGCACAAGAGGCCTAAGGCACAGCTTGTTCACGTCATGCCAAGGGCGCATTCAGACTTGTTGATGAAGAAGATGAAGAAGATCCTGTGAGCAGAGCTTGAGGAGTACGAGTACGAGTCGGGAGAGGACACCCTGGATGAGACCACTAAAGAATGGGTAGACGAGATGGTCATCGTCGGTTGTCTCGCATGGTTGGGGAAGCACAGGAGGAACGTAGTGGACTTCATTCTGGATGGGTTTCCGTTGAGTGTGAATCTCAGTTGTTCCAAGATGAAGCCACCAGGAGGACCTGAATTATGTATGCGTTTCATATATAGTGTTCGAGATCGCTGGCAGTTATTGAGAAGTACACAGTAGTACCTATTGCTTTGCAATTTCACCGAGTCAAATGTTGATGTTCTTGTCATGGGATGTACACGGGATAAGAATTGACCAGAGTATCACTAGTATCAGGTCGTCATGCGGCTTGGCCTCGCCACAGGCCAGACTGCATGTGTCAATTCAGTGCACATCGCTTCTCGTGCTAGGAGGTGCCTAGCCTCACCTAGTAAGGGCGTTTGACCAAGCACTGCCACAGCAGATATGGATGACTTGGCTAGCGAGGTGACTTGTTCGTTGTGTAGTTCTCAGCCTGATCACAGTGTGCATGGCCTGAGTCACACTGGTCTCCCCTATGGTTAGACTCGTGCAGCGCATACCCTGATACAGGGGTACCGTGGTTAAATCCTATGCCAGATGTATCGCATCGCACTGGTATGCAAGACATGCATAAAGGACACCATCCCTGACTTCTAGTCTGGATTCTTCATTGCAACAAATTTTCATCTTCGTGAGACCGTAAAAGGATTGTTCGACCCACTTTCTTGTTTATCCTTCCCAAATCTTCAGGATGCGCATCTCGACTGTATTTATTGTTGCCATTTCAATGATGCTGGGCATCGTTGGAACTAACGCACACCCCACAGGTAAGCAGAATTATGAATTCCTTCCCTCCCTCCAAGTCTGATGATGATGCAGTAGTGGTTCGCGGTGTTGATGATCCTGCAGCTTTGCCCTTGGCAGGTGTCGCAAGGAATGTAGAAGCAAGTGGTCTACCCGGGTGGCGCTAAAACATATGACCATCTGGAAAACTTCGCTGAGCGGACCCAAGATTATCATGACCCATTTTTACAGGATGGGAGGTCTGAACGCTGACCCACGTTTGACAGTTATAATAATACTTTGCATATTTTGCACCATAATTGATATTCCATGATATTTATAATCCCTACTCAGTGAGTACAGCTAGCTTAGAGAAATCAGCCATTATTATCGATGATCCTTATTCCCTTACCTAGTATATTATTACTGAATTCTGCATCGCTATCAGTCAAAATTGGTCATTAGCATCATGGGGCGCGTACGTACTTGTCATAGCAGCTTTTGCAACACAGATTTGATTGTTGACGTATCACCTGTTATCAGGGAATACTTGAACACCAAATTTCATTTGGAGCTGCCCGTAATTCGGTTTTCCTCTATTTTCCTGTGCCGCGTCAGATACATACAAGAGTTCAAGCACGTACTATCATCTCGCTATCGGACTGTTATGCCATGCCTCAGCTTCAAGTTGAGATTGTTGATTGTCGAAACTTTGGGCAATGGGCATTGACTCATCGCCAATTGGAGTGCCCTGCCACAACCCAAACTCAGGCCGTTTAAAGGTGTTTGTCAGAGATTAAGCTTTAAGTTTGCAAACATCGCTGACTTGATAACTTCGAAATGAATCAGGCGTAGAGGTGAGCCGCTAGTTTTGAAGTTGTCCATTATGTAATACAGATACTAATCCTAATTGTGTCATTAATAATTGTCCGACTGGGCTGACTCTAACTTTCGTGTGCACTATAACTTCGCCGGATACCGAGAGTATGACCTGCTAGAATCTTCACGATCTTGAATGGCCTCATCTGTGATACATTCGGATATCCGGTGGTCACTGGATTTGAATCTGAACTTTGTCAATCACATAATTTTAATAAGGTAATGATAGTATTACTACATGCCCTTTAATAACAATGCCACATGGACATGGCGTGTTCAGCGCGAGTCAGCGCTCAATTCTCGGATTCGTTAACTCTACAGAATGACACGACACCGCAAGAATACACCCAAACAACAAGCCAGAACAGAGCTTGTAGGAGAAGCCCACAAGACAGATGGCTCTCCGAGTTCGCGTGTTCCTACCACACAATATCAGCATTTCATTCCAAGGTTCATATTACGAAGATTCCAAGTCGGACCTGTCAAGTGTGTTTTCATAGTCCTCTTGAGCACTCTGCATGTAGACACTAGATCAGAACACTGAATGATATCCTTTGCAGGTCCAAAACGGAACGACAAAAAGAATTTCGACACACCGGTGTTGATCCAGAATACGTCCACTACTATGATATTGCTACGGGTAGCATTGACATTCGTCCTATTGGAAAGGTTTACGGCATACCGAATTTCTACCAGGACGTCCGAAACACCTATAATGTCAACGAATTAGAGGAGAAATTAGCGGACCTCGAACGTAATGCAGCCTCCATTATCATGGACATGCATAAAGCGCTTCCTCAGGGCACTTTCACCTCTGAAGCGCAGGTCGCTAGAGCTCCTGCGGAAGTTCCTGTTTATTATGCATTATCGCAATGCATCATGCTCCAACACCTACTTTCAAGCAGATCACCCGGAGAATGCAAAGATTCGTCAGTGGATTGAGTCCTTCATGAAGACGAGGGGTATTCAATCCGCTGTCGAGTGTTGGCTACACTTCCTCAGATACTACTTGGATTCATCTCATTCAGACATCATGCGAGATGCTGCAACACTCGTGGAGAAGTACGGCGACGAAGGTCTTCAAAAAATGATGACTGAATCACATATCCCACCTGACCTCGAACACTTCGAAGCTTACACTTACCACACTCATGCGGAAAACTACTTCTTCAGTATCTGGGAAGCCACGGAAGGGGAAGAATTCATCCTCACACACAACGCATTTGGTTTGTGGGAAGGTTTGGCAGGTGGCTGCCCTGGCCTGCACCGCATATTCGTAGTCAGCCCTCGCATTGCTCTCGTCCTGCGTAATGTGATATTGCGTCCAGAGATGAAAGCATACATAAAGCCTGGTGCATTCGTGAGCTCCTTGCTCCACGTGAATCCAGCACCACCAACCCCAATTTACGCCAGTGGAGAACGCGGTAAACACATCGACCAAGTAAATTTCGAATCTGCGATGTCACTTGCACGTTATAGATCCTCCCAGGATGGGGCGAACGACAGTTTTGTGTTCAAGATCACAAAAATGTCGCGACCCCAGACATTGGAGTTCAATTCCGTTCTATTGGTCAACGTGAGGAAAACAGGCTCTTTGACCTTCCTGTCAAGGGGGATTATGCTCCATACCGCGCGTGCGTTCCGGAGTTTACCAGCCAACTTCTTTGCGAGCGAGCTGCTCGTTCCGCTCATTGCACAATTGACGGACACTACGGAGATAGAAGTGTCGGTTCTTCGCCAGTCTCCAGCAGCTGTCCTTGAGCAGAATTTTGACGCACTCACACTCGTTGATGTAGTGCTCTATGTGCTTCTAATGCAGATATGCACGGGTACCAGGCAGTTCGAAACAGCATACGACAGGGCACATCTAGTCTTTAGAATCATGGAGAAGGCAAAACCCACTTCATTCGCAGACGAAATCAGCCGAGAAGTCGAGAAGGCTTTCAAGGTCTGCAAAGATTCGGAGGATGAGATGTCTGTCGGAGAGGGCGTCAGTTTCTCTCCCTTACTCTCCTCGATTTCCAACGAGTGGTCTTCTCAACTCTTCCAATTCATGATACCTTGCATGAGCAGACTGGGCGCAGTGATGTCTGGAGGTGAAGGGATTTTGGAAGAGCTCCAAGATGAAGTCACCGTAGTGTGTTTTCTTGCACGTGCGTCAAGTAGCCCAGCAGTGTGGCATGCGCTCTCGTGTACCAGCCCACAGGCCCCCGAGATCTTGTCAAGGCTATTCAAGAAAGGCACCCCAAGAGACGGAACTGTTGTGAGGTTCACGCGGTTCATGTATGAAAACGCTTCACCATCAGGTTTCTCTTCTGGTTTTCATATGGCATATTCATTACGAGGAGTATGTGGCATGTCTGGACCAACCACCAATCCCATCAGTCAGAGCTATTACAAGTTAACGGCATGTATGATCCAATGGCTTGGTCGCATAATGCTGGGATCCCTGCCAGAACCGTACTGTTCGCAACCGCGCGAGAGGCCCAAGGCCCGGCTCATTCACAAGATTCCAGAAGAGCATTCAAAGTTGCTTTTCTCGAATATGAAGATGATACTACGGACATTGCTCCCGGGATATGAGCCGTCGCCGGGGGGGAGTACTCTAGGCCAAACCCTCAGTAAGTGGGTAGAGGAGATGGCCATCGTCGGTTGTCTTGCGTGGTTGGGGAAGCACAGGAGAAACTTTTTGGACTTCGTTTTAGATGGGTTTCCGCAAAGTATGAATTTCAAGCTGTTTGAAGATGAAGAGGCCACTGGAAGTACCTAAATCGGCTTGTTCGAATTTATCTTCTATGTAACATGTTCAAGATCACTTACCGAGACGTGCATCAGTTGTACATATTTTTTTGAATAAAATGAGGACTCATTGAGATACCGATTTCAAGACTCACGGTTCAAATGTCTATATTTGTCTCTTGGAATCAGACCTTGATAAGGGACTTCGGAAGATAGTCGCTTCCTTTTGCCTCCTTTATTCAAGGTGACTCACAGGTTAGCAGTTTGCATCAAGTCTTGTTATATAATCTGCAGGTGATGCTGACGGCGCAACCAGGTGAAATCTACGAGTCATTTCTGCATGCAAGGTGCATGTAAGTAAGCGATCTTGACTTCGTTTCAATCCACGGCCACTCATACCAGACTACAGTCCGCTTCATGGAGAACTTCGGTGCGCGACTGATTCTATATTCTCCTAGACTATCTTGACAGCATAGGCTAAATTCTTCAATTTTTGTGGGCAGCCTGTCTGGTGCACGTCTAAAATCTGATCAGATAATTGAATTGAGAGAAGGTCCAATAAAAGACCATTTTGGCTGCGAGTATTAGCTGATAGACGAAGGAATCATCCACTATAGGGGCTGGTGCAGTTGTCATGCGTGAGTACTCACTGACTGGGAGTGAGTCGTGACTCCCAAGCTGACTCGCATCTTTCCATTTCCCGGACGTCCTCGATAAATTTCACTCGATGTCGTTACTGCTAATTCCTGACTGCTATCAAGTACCTCAAACAGCGGCAGAACTAATGTTGGTATCGAGTGGCTGAAGTTGAACGTTGAACCATGAGTAGAATTTGTAGCAACAGTAGATACAACGGACTTTGAAAATGTACACTGCAACGCGGCAAATTGTTTCAACAGTGTTATCAAACCCCAGGACGATGCATCGATGATGGATGAGACGGGCATTATCGTTACTAAAGATTTCGTACAAGTTTTCCACCCGGCAAAGCAACCAGTTTTGCCAGTTCTGCCGGTTGCAACCGGCAAAACTGACCCCAATTACTTTTCCCCCACACTAATTGCGGCGTGTTCTGACGGGTCCACGGCATTAACAATCAACTGTCGTAACAGTATAAAAGCAAGTCATATTCCTACCGTCAACACCATCTCAGAGATAGCAGTTCATACCACCTCACACAAACAATGCATTTCTCCTTCCTTGCCGTTATTATTGCTTTGGCGGCATCGATCATGTCCGTCAGTGAAGCATGCAGTGACCTGCGCGGATCTTGTCGAAATGTCAGGGACTGCTGTCCAAACAAATCATTGTACTGCAATGGCGTGAATTGCCAGAAGATGAACCCACCCAGGCCGGTGAGTCAAGTGTTTACTGTCACATGAGTGCCGTCGTTGATCGAACAATGTGTAGCTCAGTGCTGAGTGAGAAATGGGTAGAGTCGATATCGAGTCGGAGAAGATATGTCAAATGATGAAGTGTTTGCGAACTTTGTACTTTTTGGTGTTAGCAGAGCCCCACGAGTCGGTCATAAATCAAATCCATGTCGGCTAGAAATCATGCGTTTTGCATGGTTGATTAGTCGCTTGATTGATAAGGTATGCAGTCGTGCGTATCGTTTTTGTCTGGCTTGTCCTGTCCAGTGAATGAAGTATAACCTACAGTTACATTGTCACCATTATTGTGAATCGTGAGTTCATACTGGCCCGATATCAGTCTTGTTGATGCATCAGCATACTGTCACTGGAAAATTTATCATACGAGTTTGTCGCACCGTTGGGGTCTAAATGCTGACGCGAATGTGGAGATTCTAGAATATCAACCATCGACTTTTGAGTCTGCTTTCCATGGCGCTGGAACATCGACGAGATCGATATCCGTTCATGTATGATCTCACGTCCCATAATTGTGGGTTATATTCCATTCATGTCTACTTGAACTCGATATTGGCTCTGCCCATTTCTTGATCAGTGGCATCTTATGTATCGTTCGATCAATGCAAAATTAGACACTCAACTTACTAGGTTAAACAGAACCCCCGACTGACAGACATTTGGCACACGGGCATGCCTTGCGTGTGATCCTGGATTAGGCAGAACCTGTCCCCTGCTTAATCGCTGAGTTGGTGGTATTTTGACTCATTTACTTGCAAAACTCGACAAGGATAGGCACGCACCTAGGTCCTGCTGTCGGGGTGTTTGTGACACGCAGCCTTTCTTTTCCATGCAGCACGTCGAGCTTGAGAGCTCCCCTCAGCCATGAGGGCGGTTTTCAAGAATGCTGATGGTTCGATTAGTCTGTGCGACGAGAGTTTAGGCAGAACCTGTGTATAACAGATGCCACGCGTATGCCCGTGTAGAAGTACTGATCTGATAATTGAATTGAGAGAAGGTACAATAAAAGGCCATTTTGGTTGCGAGTATTAGCTGGATGAAGGAATCATCCACTGCGGATCAAAACAGGTCGTTTGTGTCAGCCACCGCATCATTCCGTTTTACATCATACTATCACCTGATTCGGAATGCACAATCGATGGATAATGCACAATGCACTCCAGAGCTCACCACTCTACATATATTTCATTCGGAACAGCTGGTGGACAATTATTAGCATACATTCAATAATACTACCAATTCAAAATTTTAAAATCAGTGCTGTGAAGCCTTCCCGAGATGAAACATTGTGCGAGTGTGCCCAAAATGAGTGATTTTTGAACACTAAATCCAAGATCCACCCAGATCCCATTAACCTATCAACACAGAAAGTTCAAAATATGTGAAATGCACCATCCTGAATCTACTCCAGGTGTTTCTATGTCAATAGGACACCACCACAGCATGCTATTCGCGATTCATGAGCAAAGCGTGACGGTCAGGCTAGATTGGGAAATCACACTCTCGGCTTGGTTGAGTCTCCGCTTTCTTTGCATTCGGCAGAATCGGCACATACCAGCATCTGTTCCTTTGAAGACACCAGAGGACATTGTTACATTACAAGGACAGTCGACCAATGCCAAGGACAGCTCGAGTTTTTCGCAACCGCCCTTCACCACATTCACAACCTCCTCTCACACGCGAGGATCGTGAAAAACGTATCAAGGATGCAATCGATACATGGCGTGGGGGTGAAACTAAAAGCCTCCTACAAGCAGCCAAGATGCATGGTGTCGAGCACATATATTCCACAGTGCGTAGGAGATGTGAAGGGTTGACTCTGCCACGAGGCGAGGCGCATGCAAAACAACGGCACCTTACACCAGCCCAAGAGGAGGTTCTCATTGATTGGATGAAGTTCTTGGGTGCAACTGGACGTCCTATTTCAAAGGAGACTGTGCGCCCCTATGTCTATGACATGTGTGGGAAGTACCCTTCCGAGTTCTGGATTCGGAGATTCATAAAACGACATCCGGAAGTCAAGTTACGGCGACCCTCTGGTCTTGATCCAAAGCGCGCACAAATGTTCAACTATACTGTTGTGAAGGAGCACTTTGAAAAGCTAGATGCAGTGCTCAAAGAACATGGGATACCTTGGGAAAACGTTTATAACATGGATGAGAAGGGGATTCAGTTAGGAGGCGGAAGAAAATCTAATGGGCGGAAATTCTTCTTCTCGCGGTCAGATCGTCAGCGATATCAGATCAAAGGAGGTAATCTGGAGCTCGTCACTGTCATAGAATGTGTCTGTGCAGATGGGACTAGCCTGGTACCAGGTTTCATATTTGCAGGCGGCACTATTGACCGCGAGGCTACAGAAATTGATCCGAAAATTAGGTGTGTATCATATCCTCCACTGTAGAATGACACTCACAAAGGTTGTAATAAAGTCTAGCAACATCGGAGAATGGCTGGACAAACGACTTCCTTTGCAGCGAGTGGTTCAAGACGTCATTTATCCCACAAGTGTCTGCAAAGAATATTTCAGGAAAACCTTGCCTTTTGATCTATGATGGTCATGGCTCACATATCACGAGCGATGTGGTAGAAACGGCAGCTGCAAACAATATTCACTTGTTCTGTTTACCGCCACATACAATGCATAGGTTACAGCCACTTGATGTCGGTGTCTTTGGACCAGTGCAAAAGGCATGGACGAAAAGATGTGAACAGTACTCGTTGAGGACGGGAGAGGGTATGCGGCGGTGTGATGTGGTGAAGGAGTATATGGAGGCTCGCAAAGAATCATTCACAGAAAACACAATCCTTCAGGCGTGGCGGAAGTCAGGAATAAGACCATTGGATCCGGGAATATTCAATGATGATGACTACGCACCCAGTAACTCGACATCGACCTCGGATCAACTGCCACCTTCATTCCCTGCCCAACTGCCATCAGATTGGGATATCCCTTCATCTGAAGATCCTGACTTTGACCCGTCAGCTCAACAGTCCACTTCCCGCAGTGATGTCGTACCTGATTCGGACTTTGATTCCGAGTCGTCAACTTCAGAATCCGCTGATCCAGAACTCAATCCCAACATCAACAGCGACTCTGACAGTGGCGAGATGGATATTGATGAATGGCGGTTGTGCATTGCAGAGCAGGAAAGTGAGTAAACCAGTAAATCAGCACTATCTTAGTACTTAACTGCGCAAATGACATCTAGGCTTCAATTCACAAGAAAGAAATTTTCGGCCACCTACACCTTCAGATACCAATGGAAGCGGCAGTCTCCATTTACTGCGTCAGCGAACTGGACCAGTCACAAGATCGCTCTCAGGCTCACTCTCAGGCTCACGGCCTGCGACCCCATTCAGCAGCATCTCCTTCTCAAATCGCTCCTGGTCCAGTGGTACCTCAACACGAGTTAAACACTATGAAGAGGAAATCGAGCGTCTGCGTGCAGAAAATGAGAGGATGAAGGCGGAAAGTGAGGAGATGAAATGGCAACGTGATAACGCTGTTGGTCATGCGGTAATGTTGAGACGTGACTACAACACTTTGAAGCAGCGACTGAATGCTAAGGAGGATAGGCAACATAGACAGGGAAGAGGTCTGCAGATGCATGAGCTGATGACTAGCGAGCAGGCGCGTCAAAAAATAGCAGAGGAAGATGCAAGACGAGCAGAGAAGAAGCAGAAAGCAGATGCTGCGAAGAAACGCCGGGAGGACAAAGAGGCAGCACGACGAGTACAGCGCAATGCGATGGACGGCACAGTAACGGCGCTCCCTTCTCGAGTCAAGCGGCACAGGAAATGAACGGTCCTTTACCCTTCCCCTCATTTAATCCACCACCTGCATACCCACTCCATTATCCAGGTCGCGAGACACGATTTATGCAGCCAGTGCCAGCCCCAGAAGGGGCTCGTCCTCTTCGAACTTCACAAGACCTCCCACCACAGCTACATGCTGGGCCGTCCACTGGCAGATACATGCCTTACCCCCTGCATGGCCTTCCTGCACCATTAAATAGAGTTTCAGCAAATAATGATCACTCAGCACATCCTAGTGTTTATTACTAGATATTATTCCCTCAATGAAATTTGATTTGGAGCTCGTTATTGAAGCTTGAAGTTATGAACGGTGCGGAACACTGGACTTTCATTCGCTTTGCACGCTGTCGGACTGTGAATATCATTGTGTATTGGCCGAGGTGCCGCGCGTGACATAGTGTGACGAAATTGTGCATTTCTATTGTGTTTTCGACACCTCAACTTCCAGTGCTGCCGCTGCAACAAGCTCGCAACAAAATTAAAAAATTCTTGTTGGGCCTAATGCACAGAGACCTAAAGTATACACTACAGTAGATCCGATACGAATATGTGTTGTTGTTGTGTTGCTATTCAGCAATAAGTGTAAATTGTGCATTTCCCGTCGAATGATAGTATTCATATTATATATTGTCTGTATGTGTTCATATGTTTGTTCTCAGCCAATTGCTGAGGCTCGCTCGTTTTAGCCCATTAACTCAGTAGTCAGCTACTTATGGCTCGGACTAAGCAAGTACCACCTAGCAAATTCGATGTTGGGAAGGCTCAAGCTCACGTGTCAATCATTGCTCCTGGACAACCCAAGATTGAAATACCCGGTGGTCCAGCGCAGACAGTACCCTCTTATGTCAATGTGTCTTCTCCACTTGAGGTGAAAAATATTGTACGTTGTCTAACATAACCTCGATGTATTCTAACAAACGCTTCTACGTGGCCCAGTTCTGTATCCTCTGCCGAGACCTTCGAGGAAACCTTAACATGTTCACTTGTGACGAGTGCCCACGTGTCATCTGCACTCGTTGCGTTGACGTCCCTCCAAATTACATAGGAGAATTGAAAGAAACGGACGTTAAATTTCGCTGCATCCTTTGTCACACAGCGTTGATGAAGAAATTGGACAAGCCAACACCGTATTATGCGAGTAAAAGTTCCTACATCATATACCCACTCTTATACTCAATAAACACTTCAGGGATTTTTGAGGGGCGGAAAGCCTGTTCTCCCATTCTTTCTGCCTATCTGCACGCAGTTAGAAACATCTAGGCGCTCCGAGATATCTGCGTCCCACATTCTCATCATTCACTTCACACTGGTTGACCACGCGACTGTTTGGAGTCCGGCTGACATGATGTATCAATTTTTGGTGCCATATTTTCCGCATGGTGGTCTCTGTAAGCTCGATGTGGTCTTTGATCTAGGCAGTCCAGAGAAAATCAAAGGTTACTATGAACAATGCAAGCTTGCCAACGACATTCTCAGTCAGGATCATCACAAGTTTGTATGTGTGATTACGACCCGCACTGACGACGATGGAGACCCGTTCATCGGCCATACAATGCAAGATGAAAGTGGCTACTACAGTTCTGTTTCTGTTCCTGAGGTAAGCTTCCTCTCGTTCGCCCCATCATATGCTCAATATTTCCCCTAGTTCTTGGATGTTCTCTTCAAACCGTGGCAGGACGTAATCACTCGGGCTAAAGACACAACACTGATCTTCATGGGCTGCTGAGCCATCATCAACAATACTGCATCGTTTCGCAATCTGTGCTCATCTATCCTCGATTCCAAACTTTCATCTACAATTGCGTTCACAGCTCCACACTTCCGACCATCATTGACATCTCATCTGACACTCGCTTTTGCTGAAAATGTTCTTGTCGAAGGGTTTTCCCCCCGTGAAGCACTCCCCGAAATTATCGGCCCATCAGACCGACTAGGAATGCATACGGACATCATTCTTATGACAAGATCTGAGTCCAACGGTGCAGCAACGCTGGAATGCACCAGATATGCATGGTCCCATGGTCAAACTCGACCATGGGGTTCTTCCCTTCCACTCCAATGCCCCCAGTGCGGCTGCATAAACGGGTGGAAGCTCACTCGTGACTCGGAGAAGTATATTTCTGTGTGTTCTTACAAGGATTGCGGTCGCAGCCACGGCAAGGCAAGGCTTCCTCCCCAGAAGTATACCTATGAGTTCCCAAAGGGTGCCAAGCGGCTCAACCCAGGGAAAACGCATAATGCTGGATGGTTGGAGATACCTCTAGACTTTTCCGAACTTAACAAGACGACCGGATTTTCAGACGCTGAGTAATAACATAATTCCATTTGAAGTCAATGATTTTCTGCATACCTTGTGTTACCGTATCTCTGATGTCATAATCGCTCTTATGAATAGTATCTAAATTCGAGACACCCGCTGCGGAGATCTTGTCTCGTGGGTTACATGTGATCCTTGCACCTGCAGGAGAGCAATTCTGGAGACTTCAGCAAATTGTGTCGATATCTTCTTTTGCCGAGCTGTCACTTGCTGAAGACATTTCATTTAGGACAGCACACACTCATCTTCGAGCGAAGGTTGCAGAATCCTATACGCCCATCCAGATGTGACACCACCCATGATGTCATCCTGAGGGTATAGATTTGATAACACCAAGCAGCTGCGAATTGGTGTACGGCACTTTGTAACTTATTCTGCTCCAACCACCTATAACACATCCAACACAAGGTACGCCATCCCATCTTGGCTTCGTCATTCGACTTGACCATCGTGTATATAAGTCAGGCTGGTCATGAACCTATTCATCAATCATTTTGGATGGGTTTCTGCAGGGCATGAATTTCAAGCTGTTTGAAGATGAAGAGGCCACCGGGAGTACCTAAATCGGCTTTTTCGAATTGATCTTCTATGTAAAGCGTTCAAGATCACTGATTGAGATGCATCAGCTGTACATATTTTTTGAATAGAATAAGGACTCGTCGAGGAAATGCCGATGTTAATGCTTACAGTTCAAGTGTCTATACTAGTCTCCCGTAGTCAGACCTTCGAAAAACAGTCGCTTCATTATGTATTCAAGGTGACTCAAAGGTTAGGCATCAGGTGGAATCTACGAGCCATTTCTGCATGCAAGGTGCATCGTAAGTAAGTGATCTTGACTTCTTTTCACTCCACGGTTACTCATACCAGACTACAGTGCGCTTCATGGAGAATTTCGATGCGCGACTGATTCCATATTCTCCTAGACCATCTTGACAGCATAGGCTAGATTCTTCAATTTTTGTGAACAGCCTGCCTGGTGCACGTCTAAAATCTGATCAGACAATATTTAACAAGCAAAAGCCACAACATCTCGTATCCTTCCAGATTGTGTCAAAGCACGATTATCATACTTACGGCGCTGTTGTTATACCAGCCGTTATACCAGAGTGTACCACCGCTGTTGTTTTTAAAGAAGACCGCGTGGGGGTCTGCGATGGAGATGGGTGCTTCATGAGCAAAAAAAGCAACTGATTCGAAGAAACTGAGTGAACGATGGCGGATGATTTGGTGATATCGAGGAACGAAGGGTCTTTCACGTATGACACAGGAACTAGTGTGACGGTCAGAATCGCACCCGTTGTTGATGCTGTCATTTTTCATCAAGATGTATTTGTCCTATTGCCAGTTTTCAGATACAGTTGGTGGTAGGACTCTACTGTCGACTAGAACGTCACAAGTGACAGAGGGTCCACGGCAAGTGGGGCTCAGAAGCCACTCCTTGCCGCATGCAGAATTTTGATTGTTCAACAGAACACGATCGCAAGTGTTTGTCGGCGTTTCACGAATAGCTGAGCAAGACAGTCATCCGAGTTAGGAGAGCTGTCTGCCGTATGACTGTCAGTCGTGTAGATAAGGATGAAGAAAACGCAGAACAAGCGTACTCGAAAAAATCCTTGACACCAACTTGGGAACCCTAGAGATAGCGGACCACGAAAAAAAAACCTCCGGCTCACATGACTTCGAAGTGACGAAACATGATACACATAAAAGCGTTCTCTTCTCTGGACCAATTTGGAGGCGGAAGAATCTGGAAAACCTTGCCTTTAAGATCGCGGCTTCAGCCACAACTGATTTCGAGTCTCTGAGGATAATCGATTTGCAGAATAACGTTTCATACTTCCTAATTCCTCACGCATCAACCGATGAGAGCAAGACCATCTTTTACTCAGACTGGTCGTCGCGCATCGTTGTCTTCATGCGAGCAAAGAACAACTGATATTCGCCGTCATAACATTCAAACTCAAGACGAACCAATCAAAACATACCCTGAGCACAAGTTCGATGTCAAGGGATGTCCTGCAAGTGCTGGATGTTTCTGTGACACCTGTATAAATATGAAGGAATCTTTCAACGAGTGCGAACTCGTTAGAATATTTAATGTTCCCAGAGCTATGATAGGTTGTTCAAATTCAGGACTCAGCCCTTCGACTCGACTCTGAACCGCTCACCTCACAAAGATACCAAGCTATACTATATGAGGACAAGCAAATGCATGAGGGTCATCCTTGACCAATAGTACTAGAGATCCAAGTTAAGTGAGTCTTCGACATACGAAATTGAAACGTTCGAAAATCGAGATCTCGGTACTGTCCGGACGGACTTTCAACTCCCGGAGATTCCTGGCAGGTGCATTACGTCCCTAGCTTGGAAACTACAGTGCAGGCGGCAATCCAGTACTATTACGAATCAGCCCTGCAGGGATTTCCTCCAACACGAAAAAAAAACATTACTGCACACTTACTTCTGCGCCCCGAGTGCTCGGTGTTGCGATGTTTATCATATCGGCAAGGATGCGAACGTCATTGATAGCTTTTCAGGATCCTGTCTTACGCGAACTGATCGACAACGACTGACAGTGTTGTGCACGAAATGACACTCGGAGCTCACTTTTTAATGTCTGGTTCCGAATACACAGAAGGAGATAGAGTTTGGTAAGAGGATCCGTGGACTCGGACTGCCACCGCCAGATTGTTTAGTCGAACGTGATCAGGTTCACCTGCGCTCTCGTGCGTACTTTGTCTGTTGACCTCCGAACTATGTCGCTAATATGAATACACCTGATAATATAGAAGGAACGGCATCCATAATTTCTTAATAGATATTATCGCGTTCGCACTCACCTGCATACGTTGGCGAGATCCTGTCCATCCTTCACTCTAAACAAGCCCGAAGGTCTGCATATATGAGCATATTACTTTCCATTACACAAGTTACGAAGTCAGCGCTGTGACTTTTCCCTTATCCCCGGGCCTGGTAGTTTTGTTCTTCCCGATGCGAGCAGGGAGGCAGCTGATACCTTGATGGCCTTTAGAGTTCACACTGCCATATAGACCATTCCATAATGATCTACCAACTCGCAAGTGGACATCTAATTGCCTTGATCTCTGCTATGCTCATGGCTGCATCGAAACAGATAATTTTTCGCCGACGCGATGAACCTGGCGGTCTTTTTCTTCCGGTTGCTCGAGACCCTGCCCACTAGATAGCGATGAATGATATTCTCATTTAGCTCATCACGATATCGTTCTCCATGTTCCGCGCCACCACCCAATTTTCATCATTCGCAGAAGCCAAGATAACTGCGATCAATCTGGAGGTGGTGTCCTATTTCTGCTGACGTCGCGACCATCGATCCCGGCGCATTCACTAAGAATTTCGCTTCCGACAACTGCCTCTGAGGAGTTTTTTGATAGAACGATGTTGTCGGTGGGTAACTGACCAAGTCAGATCCCACCAGTAACGTGTTGATAGAACGGAGGTTGAAACCCGCAGAGTAAGCTTCTTAGGGAATGATAATCATCACGAACCTTCATCTCTCAAGATGGATATGTTGTATATGAAACCTGAGTCGTATTCAATGTGATCCATCACATTGTCATGCTTTGGTGTCAGTCTCGACTTGATACTCGTTTTAAACAAACAATGGAGGGAGTCTGGGACATAGTACGAGTAGTAGTTGCTATTGTATGTAAGAAGTGAGACAATGTCATAATGTGACGATCTGGTATCGGATGTGTAGCTCCATGGCGCTTTCCGACACGGCTTAAGTCTCTTGTTCTTTGCCTCATCGCCGAAACTGACAGGGACCACTCTTGGCGGCACAACCCGATACCTTCTCCACGGCCCTCGAGTTTACCACTAGGCAATAAATTATGGTTTGTTCATTCCGATACGACCGGATGGAAGAATATCTCAGCCCCGAGGCATAAGTACTCCGTGACGACGACATGGAACGAACCCATCTGGTCATGGTGGAAACCTGTGCGTTAGTGCCTATGCGCAAGGCGGTTGTGAAGATAGTCTCATTGTCTCGGGTCAAATATCGGCAACAACAGCCCGGATCAAGCCTCATGGAAATTCAGACTCAAAGAGTTTCACAAGGTTTACTGCCCTTGTCTTCCGAGTCCACACTTCGCCGCGAGTTACACTAGTCTCTTCACGCGACATTCGTCCGAATTTTCACTGCCCGATCAACTCACCTATATCATGTCTCAACGGCACATATAATCGAGGTCGAATCTCATGTCCCACTGTCGTATGATAAATAAGCCTGGTAACGAGTGCGACATCCTTCTGTTCTTCTTGGCCGTGTCTTCTTCTATCGCCATTTCTGGTGACGACCAGCGACGACCGCCGCATAATATGCAGTTTATTAGGAACTTGACGCAAGGTTTTCCGACCATTACTGGCATACGATGGTTCAACCTTTCTGTCCTTGTTATCACACCGGCCCTTTCCCTGTACGGCTTGCTGTATGTTCCCATCCTTCAGAAGACTGTCGTTTGCAGTATTCTCTATTACATTTATTCCATGCTCGGTAGGTACTCAGCAATAGTCATTTCCTCTGATCACTGAATTCGCTTCGCCAGGCATTACTGCTGGTGAGTAGTGGACATACCTGCGACCAGATAGTATTAGAACGCGTTTCTCCAGGGTACCACCGGCTTTGGTCGCACAGATCGTATAATGCCTCGTTCCCTTTGCAGGTATTCCTGATCCTTGCGGGTGCGAGTGCAGTACAAGGCTCGTGTTATTGGTGGGCACGCCGACATCGTTCTCACCACAGACATACCGACACGGACTTTGACCCTTACAACTCGGAGCGTGGACTTCTCTGGACGCACATTGGATGGATCGTTTTCGAGTCAGATTTGAAAACGGGGCCAGCTGATATTTCTGACTTGCGTAAGGATGCTCTCGTACAATGGCAGCACCGATGGTACTTTGTCATCCTGACTATTTTCGGCTATTTGCTTCCAATGGTCATTCCTGGCTTAGTGTGGGGAGACTGGAAAGGCGGATTCTTTTTCGTTGGTGCCCTTCGCATGACCGCATGCCATCATGTAAGCCTCATCTTATTCATTAAAGGCAAAGCTTGACCTTCGTCTTAGAGCACTTTTTGCATCAACTCTATTGCTCACTATCTCGGCAGCACCCCGTACGATGACAAACACTCGCCGCGCGACCACCTTATATCCGCTGTCCTTACGATGGGGGAAGGGTACCATAATTTCCACCACCAATTTCCCATGGACTACAGGTAGTAGTTGAAGTCCATCGCATCGTTCTCAGTTTTATTTACGAGTCTGGCTTATCTACTAGGAATGCATTCCGATGGTACCAGTATGACCCTACCAAGTGGTTCATCGCTATGTGTCATCACCTTGGGCTCGCCTCTCATCTCCGTGTTTTCCCTAGCAACGAAATTGAAAAGGGTGCACTCACGATGAAGCTCAAAGCTCTCAAGGACGTTCAGGACTCGATTGAATGGCCTGTGCCTCCGCAGGAATTGCCCATCGTGACGTGGGAGACATGTGAGCAAACGCTATCCTGCACATAATTTTTTCCTTAAAAACTACGAAATTTTTGTCGATAGTCCAGGAAGAATCACAGACTCGGACTCTTCTCCTCATCTCAGGTTTTATTCATGACGCATCTTTTTTCCTCGATAACCATCCGGGAGGACCCGCTCTGCTCACACGAAACTCTGGGAAAGACATGACTGCCTCCTTTTTCGGTGGCATCTATGCCCACTCTCACGCAGCGCATAACGTGCGTATCGTGCTTCTGTTCGCTTATCCAGTGATGCTAATGATTGACTCTGATCCTCATCGGCCACTATGAATACATACTCTATTACATAGCTCCTTGCAATGATGCGCGTGGGCATCCTTGCGGGCGGTGTTGAAGTGCCAGCGGAGCATGCCATCCCACCTAGTCAGCATCTTATGATCTGTCCTAATGCCTCTCATTGAAGACGCCGCATGACCAACGTGTGTCCGGTTCGTTAGACAACCCAACTGTGTATATTAATGATCCTTCAAGATCCCAAAAACATACGACTCACTGATACGACTAGTATCTATAGCGTAAATATCCAAATTTGTCGATGTAGCTTCTAATGACAGTCTTCGACCCATTAGATCACCCTATATATATTCTTTTAGACTTCGTTACTGTACTTCCCTTGCCTTCCTTCTATTCTGTACATATATAGGCCTGGCGACCCATACACTCGCCCTCAGGATGTAATTTATGTGTGTTGCATTTCGCTATAAGTAACTTGACAACTTAGCCTGTGGTTCGAATTGCCAAGTAACCATTCAAAATCACAGGAGGGTATCGACTACTGGTTCGATGTTGAAGCAGGTATGTTGAATGACCGATTGAAGTTGCAAACCATCAACATTTATGTAATAGCACAGACGCCGAGGCATTGGGATGAAATTGGTGTCACTCAGTGACCATTATATCACTACAACGGTGTAAGTGGTGCTCGTGGTTGCTGCCTCTGCGAAATAGCTAGACTGGTTTTAGCGTTGACCGTATTCAAACTTTTATTGCAGAGCTAAGCAACTGCAGATCGGTCGAAGCGATTCACAAAGATTAATCGAGGTAATTGCATACGCACGCAGAAACGTGTCTCATCGACACTCAAAGTAAAATCCTTGTATCCACACAACTAAAGTCGTAATAACTGACCTTCAAGTTGAAGGAGGTCATTTGCCACTGATTGGGTAATGAATGCCCCAGACACCTCGTGCCAATTATCGGTTTAAAATCTGCGGAAACTGGTCGGATGTGGCGGCTTTCAACTTGGTTTAAACTTCATCGACCTTCGTACCACCACACGTCAATCGCTCGAAACCTTTCAAGTTCCTGCTTTCTGAAACATGTCGGAGCCGACAGCAGTACAGCTCAAGGACGAGGGCAATGAGTTATTTAGACAACAGGACTATATCGGGGCACTCGCAAAATACACCCAGGCTATTGCTCTGGACGACAAGAACGCTGTTCTACATGCGAATCGTGCTGCTTGCTATCATGGGTTGAATAGGCGAGGCCACAGTTGTAGTGCTGTGGTAAAAATAACTGACCCCTCTTTAAATAGATATCTAGACGCTGTCGATGATGCAAACATGGTACTGATGCCAGTGTCGTGTACATGGAGAAGATATTAATGCATCTTCAGGCTACAGAGATTGATCCAGGTTATGCCAAAGGGTGGTCGCGACTGGCAGCATCTCGAGACGTAAGTCCTTGCGCGCTCCCTCTTCGCTTGATCTGACATCGTGCATAGGCCCTCTCGGACTGGGAGCGAAGTGCTAAAGCGTGGCAAAAGGCACTAGACACACTCCCCAAAACTAACCTCACTCCTGCAGAGAAACGGCAGAAAGATCAGTATAAAGCCGGTCTGGATGCAGCTCAAACCCGTGGCAAGACCATAAAGGACCCATGTCTCGCTCGTATGAATGCCGCTGATGGAAAGTTTCCTTGGCAAATCGCGACGGAGATGCTTCCTGAACTTCGGCAAGCGGGTCCCGAAAAACTTTCTAGTAGTGTGAATTTCATTTGTAATCTTGCATACCATCGCTAAACAGCTGGTACCTTTCATGTAGGCTTGGGTGATCTCACATGCATACGAGGTACGTTCAGTGCCTTTCTATGTAATAAGGTCCTATTGACATTCACTAGGAGTTCACGAAAGGGGTGGGATTTATGAATGAATTGAAAACAATTCCTCATCCTCAAGCTCCAGGAGGACTTGCCTATAGCGGAAGTCTGATGGTGAGTTTAAGCCGTTCTATTCGGCTTGCAATTTCATGGTGCCTAACATGCATAGGGCTTGACGTATTTGACCAATGGTTTGATGCGTGACGAGCGCGCGTTCCATATCAGTGACCCCGACTGGATTACCAAGTACAATAACCAAGGCAATTCATTTTAGTATCACGCGAGGAATCACACTGACCGAGGTTTAGTTAAATTCGAAGCTACGGCTCGCCAAGCCTGGCACTCCGACGGAGTCGAAACTATCAAGGAACGGGCACAGAAACGCCTGAAGGAAAAGGGTTGGAGTGATGTACGCCCCGCTTTGTCAGTGACAGTTCGGTGCGTTGTATGAGCTTCGTGCTATAATATTTATTGATCTTCCGATGCAGTGCATGGATAATGAGAGGCATGTTGGAAGGCCGTATGAGAGACGCACCTGAGACTGGTGTTCAGTTTTTGAAACGAGCTATTGACTTGCTTGAATGGGGACGAAATGTTTGGAAGAATGTGCCCAAAGATGATCGTGGGGCGATTTTCCAGGATACGTTTTTGCGAGGCGTGCGTAGCTTGCACCTCAAGATGTTTATGGACGTACGTTGCAAGTCATGTTTCGTTGGGTGCTTGTTTAATCGCATGACAGGCTTACGGCACCGACCCTGGCTTGAACTCTAAATATCCCCTTGAACATCTGAAGGAAGAAGCTGAAGACCTCCTTAAAGAGGTTGAAATAGCATTTTGAACCCTAGTAAGGAGGAAATTGACCCCGGCATGGTATCCTCTTTTTACATCTATCCTGCCGCAGTCGCTCATACGTATGTCTTTGCCTGTTTTCCTGCGCTTCCGTTCCTTTCTCATCATGAGTTGCCTTGCTTTTCAGGATGATAGGATTCTATCATGCACAGACAGCTCAATTCAGCGATGATGCTTTCGCGTCGTGTCTTAGCTATGCGAATGGGGCAAAGGCGTATGCGCAGGCAGCCAAAACATACCCCGAGGATGACGAACATCATGCGTGTAAGTGACCAACAAAGGCTCGTGCGCGCGTTTCACAGGTGTTTTCCCAGTTTACTTGACCTGTGCTATGAATTGTATGCGAAGTGCGGGTGTCTCTATTCACGACTTCAATGCAGTCGCCGTTAGTATGCGGGCAGCCGTGCCCAAGATGATGAAGATATGGGCGATCTCTGCTCTGCAGCAAGGTGGGCGAGACGATAAAATACAAGCAAACTTGCGCATCGCAGATGATCTGATGAAGCTTGTGGATGAAGGAAAGTTAACAATGAAAGATCCTGTGCCTTTGTGATCATTAGGCTTGTACATACCTCACTTGTGTAATTATATGTTGCACCTTTTACGCGGGAGGACACGAGTAATAGATGCACAAGTTACACAACCGTGACATGAATTCGACGGGTTACTGTTTTTGGTAGTCATGTAACTTTTCCACAAGTTTCTCACTCAGGCTGGCAGTGAACACTAGTGGGTCCTATCTTCAACGACGAACGTTAACCAACGTGTTTACATTCCGCGAGGCCATGCATCAAATGGTCAGTTTCATAGCTCTTCTCTTCAGCCATAACCCAAATACACTGAATATTAATATTTCCAACAGAGCTGTCTCCCCGTAACCTATCCAACCTCCAGAGGCGGTCTCGTGCAGCCGAGGCCGAGGCCATTGATTCGCACAAGACGCTGTTCAAACAACGAAAGGTACATGGATTATCCTCAGTACTGGGGATACGCACGCCGTCGCGGGTCAATATACCACACAGGCGTCGTACTATAGCCCAATACCGCGAAGCGAAGTACGACGAGTACAGGCGAGGTGATCAATGACCAGGAAAAAAAACGCCAATGACAACGCTGCCGGTCGACGATACCTTTCTCCCTCTCAAGGCGAACACCCAACTATTTCACACTCAAGCGCGCATCACGTGCGCCAATGGTCATCCCGTCTCGCTGCGATTAGTCGTGTGGACCTCATCGCGTCCGCTGAGCGCATCTTCAAGTTCTTCAGGTATCTCTCTCCAGCTGGCACCGTAAATTCTCCGGAAAATCACGAAATCTATCTCCCTCCCGCCCTCTGTACAGAAGTCATTTCCCTTCAGTAGCACTCGAGAGCCGAAATCACAGCGACTTGAACATGTTGGCGCATATGTTTCATGTGCAGAAGGAGTACTACTTTAGAGCAATGAAGCAAGATGATTTCTCCGCGTCTTCTGAGGGGTAAATCGTTTAGAAATCTCACACCCGTATCTGCGTTAGTCCAACTCGTTGTCGGTCTCGTTGTGCTGTGGATCGGCCTTGCCGCCTGCCTCTCCTTGATTTCTTGATGTACAACCTAAATCAAAACAGATTTTCGTGCAAACTCGATTCCATCCTCGTTTTCCTCGGACGTCCAGAGTCGACACCGTTTCGTACGCTCGCTATCCGCGAGCCTTATGTGAAGAGATTATTATTGGAACGTGCCATCTGGGTTACGACTCTTGTCTCCACTTGCGTCGTAGTACTCACACTCCTTTTCTGGACTGTCTCCGGACATCGGCTATAGCGAGTGGGTCAAGCAAATAGTTTCTGCGTTTCTGTACTTCACGGGTGGACCCATGTTGGAAGGGTACTCGATGTATGATCCTCACGAACGAGATACATCCAGCTATATTCAAAATATTTGCTCGATACTGCGCTGGCTTCTTGGTCGTTCCCGAGCTCATGGTGCAGCTCAATGATCAATCAATTCGACTTTTCAACATGTTCGAGGATAATCATAAATGGCGTCATCATATCGTGATCTACGCGAGAGCCGTCACTGTGGGAATATATCGAGACTACAATCAAGGAGGGGAAGGCAGGTCCACGTTATCCTTCAAGCGGACCACTTTGGATTTAGGGATAAAAACACGATGCTCATCAACCCAATCCAAGACCTTGTCCAAGTTTCTGCATTGGTGAGGAACGTTGAAGTTAGGAAGAGGATTTTCGACACCCTTGACCCAGTCGTAAGTGAGCATTGTCACGTCGCCACGACACGTGATGATTTGCCTCAGCATTTCGATGCAGTGATCTGAGGTACAACATAATTAGCAGACGTGCTCCGGGCAGGAAACAGCATGCCTACCGAGATGAACGCGGAACTCTTTGGGGGATTGGGGGGATTCGTGAGCGCCATGACCCGCGGATTGATTGCCCCAGCTGGCTCTGCGAAGCATGTCCTACAGGGGAGTGAGTAAAAATCGACCAGCTTTCCTGTAGTACAACTGACTAAGCAATGAAGCTGGTGAATGACTTCTACAGTTGCCATGTAACCTCCGCCGTATTCCTCCGGATACCTGACCATGGCCGGAGAAGGTTTCTCCCCTGTTCTGAGCAGTTGCTCACGGGTCATACGGATTTGACGTGCTGGGAAATACAGTCAGTAGATGTGTACGATGTAGGTGAAGTGTGGGGTGCAACCATTCAAAGCTACCCTATCCCAAGTGGCATCGATTTCTGGAGATGGGCTGCCACGATATATAGAAGGGGTGCCCAGAGTTCCATTGAATCTTATGATGCCGATGGATTCGATCGCTTCGTTTGCTGGAGCTGTAACGAGTAAGCAAGGTCTTGTGCGTTGACGCTGTCTGACCACCTACAGTACAGAACTACATCGTCGATGGACGGTGCTCGTATCCATAGCACGAAGAACATCATCGTTATGGACATCAGCACACCGTGGCTTAGCCATGGCGACCAGCGAAAGAAACGATATTTTGGAAGAGGTCTTGTTTCTGTATTGTTATCAAGAAGACTCGCATCGTCACGATCGTCGACGGGAGAATACGATGCAAAATATTCCTTGTGCATAGCTGGCGTGCGCAAGATAAGGGACTTGAAGTTCGCAGCTGGCACTTGGAACTAAGCTGTACTCTAGTACTCGTGGTCAAGTTAAACCCAGGAATAAACCACTTAGGTCTGCGAGGAACGCCACCGGCCCGCCTGGGTATGCGTTGCGATACTTCACCAGTCCATTTTCCACACGGATAATGTTCGTGACAATGTGCTCGGTGAATGTCAGCAGTGTAATTATAGACTGTAAATTGCCAGAAGGACCAAGGTCTGGTTTTTCAGTTCCGACCCTGATCTTCACCGGTGACCCGGAATACGTCGATGGAACCACTTACACAGCTGGGGAACTGACATTTTACCACTTTTTGCTGCCAGTGAAATTACATTCGAAAGGCGCTTTGGAACGCTCTAGGCTAGGTCTGGAATGCTCTAGCCAGGTCCAGATCTATTTTTGATTGAAATCTTGCAAGAGGTAAAATGTTAAAAACCTCCGATGTGTTAATTATGCGTTATCAGACATCAGACTGGATCTTAGCGCTGTTCTTCTTAGCGCCACTACTACTAGTACAGCCATATGGGATTTCACTCCTCCTATCATCCGGCACCGGTGAACGTTTGAACCCTCGTTATGACATGACATACGTATGGGAACACTAGGTATTACACTCCAAGATATTTCTCGCATCCACCCTCAACCCCCAGAGTCATGGTCAAAGATTCCTCACAGTACTCTCCTGTTGATGCTGTCGACGATGATAACGAGGAGCAATCATTCAATGATGCAGAAAGGTTTCGTCCTAAGTTGCATGATATCATGCGCGTGTGGCCTGTGTTGAGTCATGGCGCGCTGATATGTACATCGATGCTCTTCTTCGCGCTGTGGATGGGTACGCCTTCGCCCCACCTGCGTGATGACATTGCTGTATACTGTGAGTGAACAATCCCCGGATAGTTGATACATCGTGTTGATGATTTGTCACAGCTCCTGCAAGTGGTGCTGTTGACCCCATTGTCGTAAGACTCAATGGAACCCTCGACTTTCCTTCTATCTATCGTGGCCCTCCTTCCCCAGAAATTGATGCCGCTTGGAACAGGATAGGTCGCGATGGTGTGTCGTCCATTTTCCCCTCATCCTAATTAGTAATTGTTTATGTCCATGAAACCTCAGTGCTACCAACTCGGATGTCGCTTGAGGAAATTCTTAAAGCCGGCGAAATGGATTCGCCTTCCAAGGTCAAATATCCAGCCGAATTTGGTGGAGGTTTCATGGTGTCTATGGAAGCCCCTCACCAACTCCATTGTCTGGTAAGCTATACTACTACACCAAAAGTCTAGTCGTTCTAGCTTCGTATTTTGTAGAATTTCCTTCGCAAATCCACGTGGCCCGAGTATTACGAACCCACGGATATTTCGTTCCAAGACGCACCCGATGTAGTCCGTATGCATCTTGGTACATATGCTTATTTATTTATTTATGCATCTACTGATTATCGTATACATTACAGATCATTGCATTGAAATGATCAGGCAGAATATCATGTGCAATGTCGACGTGACGACGATAACATGGTACTGGGTCGAGGGACACAAAATCCCATACCCTAACTTCAACACCCGCCACCAATGCAGGGACTACGAGAAAATCTTGGATTGGGCTGTCGAGCATGCTGTTCATATACCGGAAGAGGCGGTTACTCGTTTCGAAGATACAGTCGACATCCCCTCGCCCTTCCATCTGATGCACAATGATGTATAAGGGAGACTCCTTATACATCATTGCGTGCTGAATTTCAAGCTCACACGTGTAGTATCTTGCAAGAACGATGATTATGCGACACAAGAGTCGTACATCCATCTTGTTCTCTAACGTCGCGCTGGTGAATTCTTTCAAGTGCTGTCACGACTCATTTCTGTCAGCATCTATATATCGTTGTCGTCGTCGTTTGAGATAAAGTTGTTTCTGATAGTAAAGCCTCAAAGGGATAATATTCAATGAAAATTTGAATTATGTAGTAGTATCTTGACACGGATATAATTCACTTCCATGTGGAATGGATAATAGTTTTGATGCACCATCATGTGTACACCCTGATCCCGCGAGTTCTCCATTACAGGCCACGGGTACAGTTGTTGATCGTCATCGCTTTCATCGTCTTCCCTTTTTCGTCATTGACATTCCGGACTCAGTATAGTAGTTTATAACTCTGTCATTCACATACTTCAACGGTTCTCTTATCAGACGCTGAGAGGTGTCCTTTAGTTCAACTCTCTGCAACAAGCGACTCCCTGAGTTCCGCAGTTCGGATCTTCGCGACCTTGAAAATCGACCGGCGAATCGTGAGTGTTGTCCAGATGATGATTTGGGTTGACGCCTTTCCTCGTTAAAGTTCGAATCTGACTAGACAAAGCGCAGCTAATTCAGGTGACCTGACTCGTCATGAGCGGATCGACGAAAAGTATAAAACTCTTATGAAAGTTCCAATGTAGTGCATCGACGAAGTCCTACAACTACAAGCCCTACAAATGGAAGCGTCCCAGGACGATGGGGCTCCGCTTTGTTGACGAGTATATTGGGACAACTGGTATGGGTCCAGTAGATGCTCAAAGAGTAAGTTCATCTATGTTTATGCATGCATTATTTTGGATAGACATCATGCATCATGTCAGGGCCAAGTTTTAGACGAACGTGGCTTGAAACACATGTCCTGCGAGGCCATTGCTTTTCCTCGTTAAATTTCGAATTTGAGCAGATAAGACTGCAGGCGACCTTATAATTAATTCGTTCCATCCATGTACTCCGGTCCTGGGGAAGTTCTAACTGTGCAATCAGAAACCGGATCCTAGAATCGAACCTCATGGTTATCAAAATTTGTTTTTCAAACCTTATACGACAGCAAGGATTCGGACACAGCAATCATTGAGGGTGTTGTCCCGGAATACCGACGGGCGCATCAGAGAACTCATGAATCGGGTGCAAGTTCCATTGGCAAGCGCTCAGCCGTGCCGCGGATTGCATGAGGACATCGTTGTCCTTTTTTCATTTTAGATAACGCAAATTGAATGCTCGCGTACAGCGAATTCTCAAGGATGTGCGTCAACATAGCCTGAGGAGCGCAGACACTAACAAACGATCTTCAGTTGGAAACTGTTGGACAAGAGCCAAACAAACTTACCCCATGGTACGCAAAATACTCCATAAAACATAATGTTACAAATAGACCATCATCTGGGATTTGACGAGATATTAGGGTGTCGATGTCTAGCCGCTGACAATAAATTTATGCAACAGCCATCCGGGATGAATCGATGACCGGTACCCTGTCCTGGAAGGCTGGAACAGGCTTTTGTCTCATAGGTCAAAGGCCACATGTACGGTAGCTCCACGAGGTCCACAGTTCGGATCGTCGCGACTTTCAAATTGCCGATCGGGGAATACGAGATCGTGAGTGTTGTCCATATGAGAATTCTGGTTGACGCCTTTCCTCGTTAAAGTTCGAATCTGAGTAGACAAGGCGGCAGCTAATTCAGGCGACCCGAGTCACGAGCAGATCTACGAAAAGGTATAAAACCCTCATGAAAGTTCCAATGTAATGCATTGACAAACTCCTACCAGTCGCACCTCTTAAGTCAAACATGAAACTTTCTCTTGTATTCAACGTGCTCGCATCTGTAATCGTTCTTGCTACAGCGTACCCTACTATGCAGGGAGCTGGCATCGCGAAACGTTCCTGTGAGTGTTCATATTTATCACCCTGTAGAAGTTGGCAACTGTACTGACTTGCTGCTACTAGCTGTGGAGCAGCGTGAGGAGCTCATCGCGGAAGACATCAATTATAACATATATACGAAAAGGGATGAAGAGAAGTTCGATGAAATTGGCAGCTCGTATGACGATCAAGCCGTCGTGAAACGTTCCTGTGAGTGTTCATATTTATCACCCTGTAGAAGTTGGTAACTGTACTAACTTGCTGCTAGCTGTCGAGCAGCGTGAGGAACTCAGCACGGAAGATATTAATTATAACATATATACGAAAAGGGATGAGGAGAAGTTCGATGAAATTGGCAGCTCGTATGGCGATCAAGCCGTCGTGAAACGTTCCTGTGAGTGTTCATATTTATCACCCTGTAGAAGTTGGTAACTGTACTGACTTGCTGCTAGCTGTCGAGCAGCGTGAGGAACTCATCGCGGAAGATATTAATTATAACCTATATACGAAAAGGGAATGAAGAGAAGTTCGAAGAAATTGGCAGCTTGTATGACGATACAGCCGTCGTGAAACTTTCCTGCGAGTGTTCATATTTATCACCCTGTAGAAGTTGGTAACTGTACTGACTTGCTGCTAGCTTTGGAGCAGCGTGAGGAACTCATTGCGGAAGACATCAATTATATCTTATATACGAAAAGGGAAGAATAGAAGTTCGGTGAAATTGGCAGCTCGTATGGCGATCATTGATCAAGCCATGGCGGCAGCGCGGGGAACTGAACACAGAAGACGCTGATTATAACAAACATCGGAAGAGGGATGAAGCGTACTAGGTCCGGCATCGCCGCAGCCTTACCCACAAGATCCTTGTATATCTACATCCTTACCTGATTGCTTGTTTTCTGACATGTTGAATTTTATGTGCTCGTTGTTAAATTTTGACTCAACTACCTGCAGCTGGTGACATTACTGTATTGCATTTTCTAACTCGTGTGTCGTCAAGTCCCCTCAATTTAGTGATGCCGGAGCTCCAGCTAATTCTGGCTAAAGCCGGTTCGAACATTGTGGCTTACACCACCAACTGCCGCTTTGGGTGGCAGACACATAGTGCGAAAGTTATTTGTAACACCCGGCAAACAGGCAGATACGAGCTTGAATATAGATATAATACATAAATAAATAAATAATGCTGTAAAGCTCATTGATCAGATCTTTAACAAAGGTTTTTTTTCTCACCTGGACGACACATTAGTTACAGCTCATACTCGGTCCGATTCAGGGCTCTTCCATAGGTCTATGTATCAAACCTATGGTATACCTATGAAAAAGCTCGCGTAAACATCCTGTCCCAGAATTTTATAATCAACTCAAGGCTTGCTAGTTTTAAGCATTTGTATTCTATACAAAATAAACTCGGTTCTATTTACCTAAGCACAGTGAAGGCAAATGTGTCATATAGTAGAACTTGAATTTTACAACAGTTGATTTGTGTAAAGTACATGTTACACTATTGTAACAGTGGTTAACCACCAGTCCCTGACTCCGCCCAGCAGTAGCGCATGTCTCGCCTTGTCTCAACTTACCAGTCACATTCTTTGCTTATTTCAAGACTTCTGTCACAGATATTTTATGTGGGAGTAGGAAGGGTATCAAGAAAGGGTAAAATTTGTGAATTGGTTTTATATACAATACAGTGGATTTAATACACAACAATATTGGAGGTACAAGTCTTGAGTGCAGAACACCAAGTACTGGAGTCTATTCCTCCATATACTCGAGTTTGTCTCCAACTACAGCAGAGAAGGACCCCTTTTTGATTGGTGACTGACTCATTGCCTCTGATGCCTCATCCGCAGCCTTCCTTTTCCCCTTACCATCTTTGATTGGGTTGATGAAGGCAGCCTGCATGTACTTCTCACATGGCAGCAGCTGCATATGCTGTAGCATCATCTGATAAATATGGGAGCCATTGGCAATTTGGCATCATGAGGGTTGGAAGAGTTGCTACAGGGCTTAATGGTCCAGCTGCATAGTAACATTGGAACAACAAACACCGAAAAACAAATAAGGACTTACAGCTTCAGAATGACCTCCAACTCCACAATTGATCCCTCTTTCAGCTTTGTCTTGTATTCGCTGACGTGAATTTGGACACCACGCTCGTCATGGATGTCAGGAGACTGGACCCTCATGCCATGCAGATCATATGTGGTCAGTAGAGCGGAGTAGTGGCCCTTGAATCTCCAGGGTCACAGATGCACCACGAAGCTACCTAGCATGTGTATAATCGGATGATGTCACAGTCCATTGAGATGTGAGACTTAAAACATACCTGCGGATTTCTGAACAATACATTGTCTGATTATAAAGGGGTTGGTCAATCAAAGTACATCTAAAGATATCAGCACAGGTACATCAGGATCAGCTGAAATGACAACTACTTTTGAATCACATAGCCTTTGAGAGCAGACCGCACAAACGGGCAGGTTCAATCCACTTTGAAGCATCATAATAGTGATGTAAGCAATCTAACACAACATCCTTTGAGACTGTGACTGGCCACTCATGCCGACAGACAATACCAAGGTTGCATTTATCGGCTACCGCCTGCATTTTCCGTCCTTTCCTGACCATTTTCATGTGCTCGCGAAATGAAACTTGAGTGATCTGCAAAGTGAGACATTCCATCACCACAGCTCCATACTCTATAGATAGTATCTATGCAATGTAATGTTCGTCAGGCTGATCCGAAGGCAGAGTGAAAGGGAAGTAACAAAGCAAGATATCACACACCATACTGGGGCCAATACATTGCAAAAAGAGAGCACGATCTCGGACATGATAGGCAAGACCATTACACATTTTTGCATGTGATCAACTGCTAATGGCAGGACGTCCTCTCGTAGGCAGACCATGAATGCATTCTGAAAGCACATCAATAGTTAGTTTACTAAGCCCATGAACTAGATCTTGAAGTGGAAGTACAGACCAACTGATTTTGGGCACCTTAATGGCTCCAGCGGCATAAATGTGAAGTGGTGGCCAACAGAGTGCACGGAAAACCTCATCTCCATACAAACTGTTGAAATACGTTGATAACCGAGGCAAGAGAGGCAAAGTACACTGTGTACGTACTGTAGCATTCAAGAGTATCATTTGCAGCCGGTCCTCGTCTGATTGGAGTAATGTCGTCTGAGTGAAATGAGACAGCACCACATGCAGGCGACTTTTTTTTCAATTGACCCCTGGGTAAAGAGAGCCGGCATACACAATCAAGAAGCACTTTGTCAAAAAGAGTTGAGAAATTCACCTCTAAAACACATTCACTGTAATACATCCATCTAGGAAAATCATCTATTCTAGAGTTCAGGCAAGCATTGACTGTCAGAGAGTTGTAGGAAGCAAGCTTGCAAAAGAATACACAATGGCGGTAACCAGCCTCTCCAAATTCGCCCAGAGACATCAATAATGTAGCACCTCACCAACACAGAGTAATAAAAACACCATCATACGAGATGCATCTGTCAAAGCTGGAGGAGTTGCAAGTTAGACAGAAGAACAAGTGCAAGGCAAGAGAGGCTCTGAACCATGTGCAAAAATTTTCGAGTGTTTCATAAGATATGAGATATATTGAGGATAATAAAGAGTATCATAGTAATGTGGATAGTCTTGGACAGCATGAAGCTCATCATCAGGAGGGCAGTGGCTTTCCTTCAAGATGCGAGCCGAACGACAAGGCAATTTTGAATAAAAACCCTGAGGGACAACCAACACAAATGAATCAAAAGAGATGACAGAAAAATCGACAAACACTTACACTCTATCTACTGAGAGTGAGAGCGATGATGACAATATTAATGACAAGAGGCAATCAACGAACAAAAGGTTTCCCCACTGACTAAGCGCAACAATTTTTTCCCATTCCCACGGGTGCGTTTGCAGGTGTTTGAACATTTCTGTCCAAGAGAACCCTCTCCACTGACGTGGAGTCGGGGACAGTAATTGTATAGATGGTAGAGACTCATTAGGAATTGGTGAAAAGACTTAGCAGAATTTGTGATAAGATGACTGGCTGGCTGTCATATATAAATTAACACCCTTGAAATTAAAGCCATTGTGGTCTACTGTGCCTAAATAGGAAACGGGTCACTTAGCCTTAATTTATGATTTCGAGTACGAGGATGGAGTTTTGTGATGGAAAAAGTACATAGAATGAGAGAAAACAATTCTGGCTATCATAATCATGTATTGTTAGAATTTCAGAGAAGTGTTGTGAGGGTCTATGAATATTTTGCCAGAGGGTCTCAGTTTTGGTCAAAACCAGTGTAGCGAGTCAGCCGCCAGCAATCTCCGGTACCTGCCGCCGATCAAGGTTTTGTGTGTTGACGAGTGCTCCATCGCACAGGCTGCCCTTTATCAACGATGACAGAGTCTGCATTGGCTGCAGCTGCAGCATGAACATCATCCTCACCATCAAGGACACTGTTCTGGACATTGATGGGCCTCTGGACCTGGACAACATGGAGTTGCAAATCAGGTAATGGGTTGTTCACTCAGTGCAGGATGGGTTGAGGACGAGGGCGAGGACAGATATTTGAGGGCTGAAGAGGTTTGAGGGTGTTATCATTGACAAGGTTGTGATTTTCTGAGCTGCGATTAAGTGAATCTTTGTTTTCACTTTCCACATGTTATTGACAAATGGTTTTTGATGCTTTCTCCAGCTGCTTGCGCTGCAATTTTGCGCTCGTGTGCAACATGTTTCTTCTCTTCTGCATCTGCTTGCTTGGCAGCTGCTGCAGAACACTTTGCCTCGACTGCGGCTTTCTTGGCAGCCGCTTCTTCAGCCTTGCGAGCCAACACCAGCTCGCGCTTAGCTGCTTTTTGGGCATCTGCGATGCACTTTGCAGCAAGTGTCATCACAGTTTTGACAGCTTTTGCAGCCTCCTTCACAGCTGCACGTTGTTCACGTTCCTCTCTCCATTGTAAGTCTTCTTCAACCTTTTCGTGATCTCGTATTACCTGCCAAATTCCTCTGAACTTTTTTGCAGCCTCGGTGTGAACAACCTTGATGTTCGCAGTCCAGTCAGCTTTTGCAAGGGCATCAAGCATATCATCACAGGTCATGTGGCAAGAGCCTGAGCCACCTTCCCTCCGCAGGTCATTCTGCTTCCGTCCAAACAACTGCCATCACAACCGTCTGTTTTCGGCTTCCATCAACTTCTTCATGGCATAGTCGGCCTCCATCTGCTGTTTTGCCTTCTCTGCCCAATCACAGAGGGCATGGTAGCCAACAATATAAGCTTTCCAAGATGCGTTCTGGGGCAAAATGGGTGGAAAGTCAACAAGGTGATACAACTCTGCCTTGCTGCTGTTGCTAGGTGGAATACTACTGATGAGAGTTTGTGTTGTGCTGGTAGGTTCATTATGCAATGTTTCAGCTATTGCTGACGATGTTGGAGGTTCACTTGTGGCCTCATCAGAATCAGAAACATGGTCTGAGTCTGTCTCAGCTACAACCTCCAAGAGTGCGGTAGCATGGCTGGCACAGGTTGTGCTGGCTGCGTTGTAGTGCTAAGTGCAGGGGCATATGCAGCATCTTCAATGATATTAGGGTCCGGAGGATGGATGCCTGTCTTGCGGAATGCTGCCTGAATAGTGGACGGAGTGAATGCTTGCTGGCGAGCTTTGTGGTAGAATTCGAGAAAATTGCCCTTTGTAATGCTAATGCCTGCTTCGCTCGCCTTGTTCACCTCTGACTTCCAGCTCAATGCTAATGGCCCGAAAACACCAACATCACAAGGCTGAAGACGGTGTGTCATGTGCGATGGTAAGCAAAGCAGGACAATATGGTGATTGTGACAAAACTTGACAAACTTGAATGTGCAGTGCGAGTTGTGGCCATCGAGGATAAGCAGCCTCCAACCACCTGATGGATTATGGGCTGCACTTGCAGGTTCAAAATCATTCTGCAACCACTTGAGTCCAAGCTCGTTGTCGGTCCACCCATTTTGAGAAACTGATATACTGCTAACCAGTCAGGCATTGGCACGAGTTGAGGTCTATTTAAACATACCTTGCTTGGTCAGGATTGTTTCATGACCATGTGAGATTATGACACAGTGCTTTGAATATGACTGATGGGGGTACTGAACTGCCATCTGCACAGACCATTTCAATGATGGTCACAAGTTCGCGGTCACCATTTTCAAGGTGTTGGATAGTTTTTTGATCACGGTCAACAAGAACGAGGGTACGTTTTCCAATTCCAAGCTGCACACCCTTCTCATCCATGTTGTAGATGTTACTGGGGATAATATTGTACTTTGTTATGAGCTTGACAAGGATATTGAAGTACTCCATGACTTGTGGGCGGTTCAATGCCTTCGCATGATAACATTCAAGTCCACTTGCCCAACGTGACTGTAAGTCAGGGTGGCGAGTTCGGAAATGACGTGCCCAATGCTCCGACAAAGGGTTGCCACCAAGAATGACTGAAGCTTGTTCTGCCACCAAGTGAAGTGACATAGGCAGCCCTCGACGTCCCAATGCTTTGATCCATTCCTTCAAAGCATTCTCCTGGGATGGAGTAAGCTTCTGTTCTTTTGCGTGAGCCTTGAACCTCATTTGTCACCCATTGTACCGTGCTGTGAGTGTCGTGCGGGAAACTCTGTAATCCAAGGCTGCTGAACGCAAGCTGTAGTTTGGCAAACCTTTTTCATTAATACCTGCTGCAAGGACAGCTGTAAGAGCAGCCTGCAGTGTTTGTTCTGTATTCTGTGGAGACATGGCACTGGGTTGAATGCAAAAGTTGGGGTGTGAGTCACCACATGAAACATTTATGCAACCCAAAACATTGTATTATGGCATAGTATGAGCAAATCATAAATGAAATTATAAAACAAACTCGGTACTGACGAGTGTAATGGGCTGACAAAGAGACTAATCAGTGATCCCAAGTACATAGCTCACAAACTACTTGTCCTCATGTGCATCATTACCTGTACTCCCTGCAGCTTCACAGTCATCAGTCTTTACACTGTGTTGGTGGGTATGGTGTGTTTCAAAATGGCTGCCAGCCTCGTCCATGTTGTAGATCGTGGTATGGCACATCTTGCCATCCGTGGACCGTGGGTCCATCATATGGTGTTGTTGAAGGTGACGGGGAAACCAGAGGGGTGAATGCATCAATTAGAGGAGGCATACCATCCTTGTCAGAGAGTTTGTCTATCAGACTGTTAAACACGATATCAGCTACCAGTACATTGTTAGCAAGGCAAGCTTACATCTGATGCAACTCGTTGTAGGCTACCTGTTGAAGGTGTGCTTCGTCAGTCTCACGATGTGTCATAAAGTGAGGCGGAGCACTGTAGGAAGTGTCACAGACATCTCAAACATAATGGGACATCTAAATAAATGAATCGAGTGTATTAGAAGATGCAGAATATCACAAGGAATGGGATAAATACAATTGAAATGCTGAGGCGACAAGGAGATGTTGATGAAAGATGAATTCCAGTTGAAGAGCCTTTATATGCTGCCTGATGATCACATACAATTTACGGACCATACAATGCCCAGACAAATAGGAAAAAAATATGGGCATGTACATACCACCATCTAGTCCATTTATGTGAAGTTAGAATGAATTTTGTATTGCGGCAACATTTTTATGGCTAGAATGATTGCTCGTCATAGGCAAGAGGTGTGAGATGGTTTATCACAAGATCCAATTTTTGTGGGGATGTTGCCAGACATGGTCTAAACCCTTGAGAACAGCCAGTTTTGTGCGAGCGAGAATGTGGAGGTAGCAGAGAAGTCAAAAGGTCATTGAAGGCTTAGTGCTGATGACAAAATCATACATTTGGCTTGCCTGGGAGCACTTATTTCATGCATATCTCTTCGAGATCTCATCCGTTCAGCACAATTTCTTCAGACAGTAATATTTAAACCACACTCAATATGAAAATAAAAATTTCAAGACCTTAGCTGTTGCGGTTCGCTGGAGAGACATTCGGTGACCCACTACTAGGTCTGACCTGTTGCTTACTCAGCCACAGTAACAGTTTGTGTGTTTGAGCAGTAAGTAATATTTGTTGACAATAAACTCTCGAGTTCAAACCCTTCAAGTTACGTTTTAAATTATTAGTATAATTTTTTTTTAGCAACAATGATGCTTATTATAGGCCTGTTTCCCAGCTCTCACACAGCTTTGAACAAAAGCTTTCTAATAGGTAGTGCGAAACTATAGTATAAATATATCTCAGGGCTAGTCTACACCCTAACCATTTTGGGCTCTACAATAGCTTGTTGGGAGTTGGCAGTGTAACCAGAACAAATACAGGCTACAGCTTACATAATTTAGGTTTAACTCGGCTGATACATCAGGGTTTAACATTGTTTAACCTAGTTGAATCAATTCGCGACACTGGTCAATGTCTACCTCCTGACTCAGCCTCAACGGCTTACATATTCGAGGCCCCTCTTTCAAACTGGGGTATATGAGACAGGATGACAAGTCTTGATTCTTGAGTCGTCGTTCACTTGCCCTCACAAATAGTGATGTGCCGGCCCGGCTTGGCCTGAAAGCCACGGCTTTGGCCTGGCTTGAGGTGGTTTTGGCTTTCAAAAATCTCAGGCCAGGCCATCAGCCAAAGCCAGGCCAAAGCTGTGGCTTGGCTTTGGTGTAAGGCGGCTGAATGAGTTCGACGGGGAATTGAGAGCAAAAGATGGATGTGAAGCGAATATAAGAAATGAGGATTTTGAGTTAGAGTTTAGTATAGGAGGACACATTGACTGTAAGACTTCTTTGGACATGCTTGAGTGGGGCAATCAAAGTACGAGATTCTGCTAAGGTATCAGAGTACATGCATTGTATATAAGCACAAAACGGTAAGGGTCCTCGTGTACATATAGTTTGTACAATTAGGTGAAAAATGGAGGCAGAAGGGAGTGGTGTTGATTCTGAGGTGTAGGTAGTCCAAGCAAAAGAGAGAGTACAAGAGAACTGAATGAGTGGCGGTATAGACAAGTTTGGTTTGGATAGTGTGACAAGAATATCATAGCGGTATTAACAGGTTTTGTTACGGCGAAGTGAGAATGTAAGGGAGGCCAAAAGACTGTGCTTGTTGTTGACG